CAGCACTGGGATTTTGGGTGCAATCACCAACAGGAGGATTTTTCACTTATTTGGATTTTTCTGAAGAATTGCATTTATTTTTATGTTTTATCTTTTGGGACTATCAGTCACATTTTTGTTCATATATTTACATGTATTGATTTATGCTAGCACACTTTCATTTGTTTTAGTCTGTTTTTTATGTTTACATAAATGTTTACATACTAAACAATGGAACAAACTGCTTTCCTCTTGCCCGTGTGGTGAACTATGGATCATACTGCTTTCCTCTTGCCCGCATAGTAAATTATGGAACATACTGCTTTCGTCTCGCCTGCACGGTGAACTATGGAACATACGGCTTTCTTCTTGCCCACATGGTGAACTATGGAACATATTGCTTTCCTCTTGCCAGCATGGTGAACTATGGAACAAACTGCTTTCCTCTTGCCCGCATGGTGAACTATGGAACATACTGCTTTCCTCTTGCCCACATGGTAAACTATGGAACATACTGCTTTCTTCTTGCCAACATGGTGAACTATGATACGGCTTTCTTCTTGCCCTCATGGTGAATTAAGGAACATACTGCTTTCTTCTTGCCCGCATGGTGAACTATGGAACATACGGCTTTCCTCTTGCCCGCATGGTGAATTATGGAACATACTGCTCTCTTCTTGCCCGCACGGTGAACTATGGAACATACTGCTTTCTTCTTGCCCGCAAGGTGAACTATGGAACATATTGCTTTCTTCTTGTCCACATGGTGAATTATGGAACATACGGCTTTCTTCTTGCTCGCATGGTCAGCTATGCAACATACTGCTTTCTTCTTGCCCGCACGGTGAACTATGGAACATACTGCTTTCTTCTTGCCCTCATGGTGAAGGAACATACGGCTTTCCTCTTGCCCGCATGGTGAACTATGGAACATACTGCTTTTTTCTTGTACACATGGTGAACTATGGAACCAACTGCTTTCTTCTTGTCCGCATGGTGAACTATGGAACATACTGCTTTCTCTTACCCACATGGTGAATTATGGAACACACTGCTTTCCTCTTGCCCGCATGGTGTATTATGGAACATACTGCTTTCTTCTTACCCGCATGGTCAACTATGGAACATACTGCTTTCTCTTGCCCGCATGGTGAACTATGGAACATACTGCTTTCCTCTTGCCCGCAAGGTGAACTATGGAACATACTGCTTTCTTCTTGCCCGCATGGTGAACTATGGAACATACTGCTTTCCTCTTGCCCGCATGGTGAACTATGGAACATACTGCTTTCTTCTTGCCCGCATGGTGAACTATGAAACATACGGCTTTCCTCTTGCCCGCATGGTCAACTATGGAACATACTGCTTTTTTCTTGTCCGCATGGTGAACTATGGAACCTACTGCTTTCTTCTTGCCTGCACAGTGAACTATGGAACATACTGCTTTCCTCTTGCCCGCACGGCGAACTATGGAACATACTGCTTTCCTCTTGCCTGCATGGTGAACTATGGAACATACTGCTTTTCTCTTGCCTGCATGGTGAATTATGGAACATACTGCTTTCTTCTTGTCCACATGGTGAATTATGGAACATACTGCTTTCTTCTTGCCCGCACGGTGAACTATGGAACATACTGCTTTCCTCTTGTCCACATGGTGAATTATGGAACATACTGCTTTCTTCTTGCCCGCTTGGTGAACTATAGAACATACTGCTTTCTTCTTGCCCTCATGGTGAAGGAACATACTGCTTTCTTCTTGCCCGCATGGTGAACTATGGAACATACTGCTTTCTTCTTGCCTGCATGGTGAACTATGGAACATACTGCTTTCCTCTTGCCCACACGGTGAACTATGGAACATACTGCTTTCCTCTTGTCCGCATGGTGAACTATGGAACATACTGCTTTCCTCTTGTCCGCATGGTGAACTATGGAACATACTGCTTTCTCTTACCGACATGGTGAATTATGGAACACACTGCTTTCCTCTTGCTCGCATGGTGAATTATGGAACATACTGCTTTCTTCTTGCTCGCATGGTCAACTATGGAACATACTGCTTTCTCTTGCCCGCATGGTCAACTATGGAACATACTGCTTTCCTCTTGCCCGCAAGGTGAATTATGGAACATACTGCTTTCCTCTTGCTCGCATGGTGAATTATGGAACATACTGCTTTCTTCTTGCTCGCATGGTCAACTATGGAACATACTGCTTTCTCTTGCCCGCATGGTCAACTATGGAACATACTGCTTTCCTCTTGCCCGCAAGGTGAATTATGGAACATACTGCTTTCCTTCTGCTCGCATGGTGAACTATGGAACATACTGCTTTCCTCTTGCCCACATGGTGAATTATGGAACATACTGCTTTCTTCTTGCCCGCTTGGTGAACTATGGAACATACTGCTTTCTTCTTGCCCTCATGGTGAATTAAGGAACATACTGCTTTCTTCTTTCCCGCATGGTAAACTATGGAACATATGGCTTTCCTCTTGCCCGCATGGTGAATTATGGAACATACTGCTTTCCTCTTGTCCGCATGGTGAACTATGGAACATACTGCTTTCCTCTTGCCCGCAAGGTGAACTATGGAACATACTGCTTTCTTCTTGCCCGCTTGGTGAACTATGGAACATACTGCTTTCCTCTTGCCCGCACGGTGAACTATGGAACATACTGCTTTCCTCTTGCCCACATGGTGAACTATGGAACATACTGCTTTCTCTTGCCCGCACGGCAAACTATGGAACATACTGCTTTCCTCTTGCCTGCATGGTGAACTATGGAACATACTGCTTTTCTCTTGTCCGCATGGTGAATTATGGAACATACTGCTTTCTTCTTGCCCACATGGTCAGCTATGGAACATACGGCTTTCTCTTGCCCGCATGGTCAACTATGGAACATACTGATGAATTGCACCTATACTCCATATACATGGGTCTGGTACTCTATTGAACCCTAGATATCTCTGTGAGCACATCTCACCAGAAATAAGTATTTTTGACTCTTAAGCCCAAAAAGCTAGGAGCCCATCATATCTGGTGAGTGTGGAAGACACAAGGTAGGGTCCACTGAGCACTACATGGCATTATCATTGTTTGTCTTTAAGGAACGGGATATAATATAGATTTTTGGACTTTCCTTAATTTGACACGGAATCTTTATTGGATCACTCAATCAGAGATTATTTAAGATTGTGGACTTCATTATTATTAGATCTTTTTGTGCTGCATTATTCATTACTTTAAGCTGTCATGAATGGAAGCCATTCATGACAGTTTTGCTTACATGTAACCATGTGATCACTATGATTGGTCATAGCGATCACGTGACACCCCAACCACTCACATCCCTCTGACAAAACACAATGATCGCTGTTGGCGGCTAAAGCCTCCGGCAGTAATCACATGCATAAAAATCCAACTATTGACTTGAATACAACCAGCCTGTCCAAAAAATTGATCGAATCTTGGCTGGTTCAGCAGGGACCAATCCATATATAGCCAGCTTAGGTAGGAAGCTCATGTGACAGAGTGACAACGTAGGAGCACAACTGGGAGACAGGGACAGAGCATTGTCACCCTATAACAGGAAAAGGCCAATCAAGGGTCTTTACGGTAAAATCAATAGAGATTATTTCAACCACTTCAACCCCCTTTTACCCCCTTCCTGTCCAGGCCAATTTTCAGCTTTCAGCGCTATCACACTTTGAATGACAATTGCGCAGTCATGCAACACTGTACCCATATAATTTTTTTAGTATTTTTTTTGAAAAAGTCCAAAAATTTTGCAAATAAATAATCTTCTTCATAAATCTTGGCCAAAATTTATTCAGTTATCTTTTTAGTTAAAAAAAATAATAACCCAAATTAGTTTATAACCAAAAATTATAATTTTTCTAAAACAATTTTTAATTTTATTTTTTATATTATGATTTATGGGTTTGTTTTTTTTACATACTGTCACCCTAGCAGTACAGTGTCACCATAGTGACACTGTACTACTTGTGGGGGGGTTATGAAGATTTTTTTTTTTTTACACTGATTGCTTTTACACCCAAAAGGGCTGTAAAAGCAATCATCTCTCCTTCTCTCTGGCTGCATTCTTGCAGCCATTGAGAAATACTGTGTGAGCTGTGATTGGTCACAGCTTGTCACATGGTACAAGGCTGTTGTGAATAGCCTTGTACCATGTGACCTCTGTGATCATTCACAGATTTCACATGTAGTAAGCAGAAGTGACATCTTGCTTTCTACTCTTCATGTGATCACTGATTGGCCAATCAGTGATCACATGAATCGGGACCTCACACAGAGCCCCAGTACAACGATCGGTGTTCCACGGTGTCCGGAGGACACAGCGGGCACTGGACCGCAGTGCTGCACGCTCCCAGGGAGTGCGCACAAGCAGGGGATGGGGAGGCAGTTTATAAACAGCCACCCGACCCTGGACTGCGCCTGTCCGGCCATTTATATACATGGGCCGGATGGGAAGTGGTTAATGATGCTAAAATTTTTAGGAGGTTTCAGTGAGTGGGTTTGTATCTGCTTGAGATATTCAAGAAAATGTTCCAATCCAATCTGTTAAAATATATATTAAATACTAGACCTTCCGTGTTTTGATCAGACAGGAAGGCAGCAATGAATAAAACATTCCAGTCCGTTTAAAAACAAAAAAAGAATATAACATGAATATGAAGCTGAAGACGGCTGTTTCATCAGTCCAACCAACATTCAGTTTAGGAGACCTCCTTGATGCACTGTGTGCCTCGTGCCTCGGTGATCTCTATGTCATACAGGAGCCACAAAACCACTTCAAAACGAACAACGGCTACACCTCAACACAGAGACGATCAGAGTCCAACACCCATAGAAAAGCACCCAGATCCCAGGCCTGCTCATCATGTATGGAGGGGGTTTGGTGATGATTTTGCCTGATCCCCTGAGGCAGAGTCCCTGTGATGTCAGGAACCGTACGATGGAGATAAGTCCTCATTAATTCGATGTCCCCGTCTCATCCCTGCAAAAGGTTCCTGGCCACAATCATCCTCATCACCTCATTGGTCCCTGTTAGGACAAAGGAGATGAAATATTAACATGGAACTTCAAGGACTGAAATGGACTTTCATTTTCAGAAATAAACCCGTAAATTAAGACCGGGCCAATTCTGCAACTTTTTGTTTACATTTTCAAAATCTGTATTTTTTGCTACAAAATACTTAGAACCCCCAAACATGATATATTTTTTTAACAGAGGTCCTAGAGAATAAAATGGTGGGTGTTGCAATTTTTTATGTCACATAATATTTGCACAGTAGTTTTTCAAATACACATTTTTTGGGGAAAAAAATACACTTTAATGAATTTTAATGCACAAAAATACAACATAATACCCAACTGTTTGGTAAAAAAATAAAAGATGATACGCTGAGTAAATAGATACCTATCATGTCACGCTTTAACATTGCACACGCTTGTGGAATGCCACTTAAAGTGGTTGTTCTAGGCATGAAGGTAAAAAAACCTTCTGTGTGCAGCAGTGCCCCCAGCCCCCTCAATACCTACCTGAACCCCAGCGATATGCACGACAGCCTTGGCAGTCACGGGTCTTCTTCGTCATTGACAGCAAGTGGAAGCCATTGGCTGCTGCTGTCAATCACAGCTAGTCAGCCAATGAGGAAAGAGAGGGGGCGACACACGGAGCAGCGGGTGCCCCCATAGCAAACTGCTTGCTCTGGGGGTACACCTGACAGGAGGGAGGGTAAAAATGCAGCTCAACCATATGGTTTCACCGCCCCATCCGAAAATGTAAACAAGTCCTATGTGTGTTGAACTGCCCATTTGTACTCTTAGATTATGAGATTTTCTTTTCTTCCACCACGGTTAGAAGAAAAGATAATCGCTTGATTCCACCATCAACACAGTCAGTGTTGATTGGAGAATCCCTCCCACAGCGCTATTGTGTTCTGCTGGCAGGCAACCTTACCGTCTGACAGAACAAAATGATTGCCCCCAGCCCTCTCAATACATACAGTCAGGTCCATAAATATTGGGACATCGACACAATTCTAACATTTTTGGCTCTATACACCACCACAATGGATTTGAAATGAAATGAACAAGATGTGCTGTAATTGCAGACTGTCAGCTTTAATTTGAGGGTATTTGCATCCAAATCAGGTGAACGGTGTAGGAATTATAACAGTTTGCATATGTGCCTCCCACTTGTTAAGGGGCCAAAAGTAATGGGAAAGAATAATAATCATAAATCAAACTTTCACTTTTTAATACTTGGTTGCAAATCCTTTGCAGTCAATTACAGCCTGAAGTCTGGAATGCATAGACATCACCAGACGCTGGGTTTCATCCCTGGTGATGCTCTGCCAGGCCTCTACTGCAACGGTCTTCAGTTCCTGCTTGTTCTTGGGGCATTTTCCCTTCAGTTTTCTCTTCAGCAAGTGAAATGCATGCTCAGTCGGATTCAGGTCAGGTGATTGACTTGGCCATTGCATAACATTCCACTTCTTTCCCTTAAAAAACTCTTCGGTTGCTTTTGCAGTATGCTTTGGGTCATTGTCCATCTGCACTGTGAAGCGTCCAATGAGTTGTGAAGCATTTGGCTGAATATGAGCAGATAATATTGCCTGAAACACTTCAGAATTCATCCTGCTGCTTTTGTCAGCAGTCACATCATCAATAAATACAAGAGAACCAGTTCCATTGGCAGCCATACATGCCCACGCCATGACACTACCACCACCATGCTTCACTGATGAGGTGGTATGCTTAGGATCATGAGCAGTTCCTTTCCTTCTCCATACTCTTCTCTTCCCATCACTCTGGTACAAGTTGATGTCGGTCTCATCTGTCCATAGGATGTTGTTCCAGAACTGTGAAGGATTTTTTAGATGTCGTTTGGCAAACTCTAATCTGGCCTTCCTGTTTTTGAGGCTCACCAATGGTTTCCATCTTGTGGTGAACCCTCTGTATTCACTCTGGTGAAGTCTTCTCTTGATTGTTGACTTTGACACACATACACCTACCTCCTGGAGAGTGTTCTTGATCTGGCTAACTGTTGTGAAGGGTGTTTTCTTCACCAGGGAAAGAATTCTTCGGTCATCCACCACAGTTGTTTTCCGTGGTCTTCCGGGTCTTTTGGTGTTGCTGAGCTCACCAGTGCGTTACTTCTTTTTAAGAATGTTCCAAACAGTTGTTTTGGCCACACCTAATGTTTTTGCTATCTCTCTGATGGGTTTGTTTTGTTTTTTCAGCCTAATGATGGCTTGCTTCACTGATAGTGACAGCTCTTTGGATCTCATCTTGAGAGTTGACAGCAACAGATTCCAAATGCAAATAGCACACTTGAAATGAACTCTGGACCTTTTAGTTGCTCATTGTAATTGGGATAATGAGGGAATAACACACACCTGGCCATGGAACAGCTGAGAAGCCAACTGTCCCATTACTTTTGGTTCCTTAACAAGTGGGAGGCACATATGCAAACTGTTGTAATTCCTACACCATTCACCTGATTTGGATGTAAATACCCTCAAATTAAAGCTGACAGTCTGCAGTTAAAGCACATCTTGTTCTTTTCATTTCAAATCCATTGTGGTGGTGTATAGAGCCAAAAATGTTAGAATTGTGTCGATGTCCCAATATTTATGGACCTGACTGTACCTGAGCCCCAGAGACGGCAAGTGGAAGCCATTGGCTCCTGCTGCTATCAATCACAGCTAGTCAGCCAATGAGGAAAGAGAGGGGGCAAATCAAGCCTCGGCTCCTTGTGTGAATGGACACACAGAGCAGCGGGTGCCCCCATAGCAAACTGCTTGCTGTGGGGGTACACCTGACAGGAGGGAGGGGCCAGGACAGCCTGCAGGGGACCCAGAAAGAGGAGGATCCAGGCTGCTCTGTGTAAAACCACTGCACATAGCAGGTAAGTATAGACATGTTTGTTATTTTCCAAAAACAAAAAAGAAAAATTAACCTTTAGAATCGCTTTAAAAATCTCCATAGGCTTTAAAAGCCTTTACAGGTTACCAGTTTATTTTTACACTGTCCCTTTAAATTGTTTTTATTGTTCTCTCAAGGAATGTAAACATCCCTTGTGATAGTAATAGGCAGTGACAGGTCCTCTTCACTGAGACATCTGGGGTCTGTTAGACCCCAGATCTCTCCTCTGCCATTGAAACCTTTGGATCAAACTAGGATCCATTCGAGCCAAAGCTTTTCCTTGCCAGTAATGGTCGATAAACAAAAGGCCAAAACCGGAAGTGACAAAATACTTGTCGCTTCTGGTTTTGAATACTATAGAGATGCTCAAGGATGCTCCGGTCCCCAATCAGCTCTATGGTAAACCCGCGGAACCCCTAGCTTCAGTCCGGCCTCAATGATGGAATGGTAGAGCCTGGAGAGGCACCAGAGGGCAGCCGGAGGATGTACTTCAGTACAACGAGTACAGTATTTGTAGCTGATGACTTTTATTTATTTCTTTTTTTCAGGTGGAACTCTGCTTTCATGTATGGCCAGCCTTTCAGATTGCTAAAAAGAAAAGGCATGTCACTGACACTGCCAAGTGATAATGGCCCCGGAACTATGCTGGCACGTTCAGATAGGAGGTCAGTCTGCTACTGCTTAACCTCCCTACCGGTGTGATTATGTCAGTATTTCTGTGCTCAAAGCGGTACATTTTTTTGCATGGAAATATGTCGTTTTTTTATTGTAGGCCTGTAATTCTTAGGAATAACTCACTGAAATCTGTCCGAACAAAAGTCTAGTAAACATCCCGGGTAGGATAAAATTTGAAACACGAAATCATAAATTATAATTTAATAAATAATCATAAAAAATAATAATATAATAATAATAAAAATTTAATTCAATAATATAATCAAACCAAAAACACTGAAATTTGAAATATAGCGCCAAGTTCACACATCACTGAGCAAAGTCGCAAAATCGTTTTCAGTGTCTGATGACGAATTTCACCCACGAATCATTATCACTCAATTCTGCAAGTAGCTCTGATTTACTATTGCTGTTCTCTAGCTGGTCTAAAACCGCTTTTGACCTAAAGGGACGCTTTTTGGACGCCATGGATGTTTCTCAGTTTCCAGGCAGAAAGAACAGTAAAAATGCAGGCAGGGCACAGGACAAAGCACTCGGGACAACATGTATGTGAAATGGTTTGATACAGGAATGTTATACTATGTGATTTTAGTGTATTTAGTGAATTTCACTTTTTTAAATTTTTTAAATTCCCGCTGGTTCTATCCTCCGTACGTCCTGACTAGGGGCGGACTGACGACTCATGGGGCCGCCGGGCAATAGGGGATCATGGGGCCCCTGTGTCCTTGCCCAAACTCAAAAAAGCCTATGAAAAAGGTACCAGGGGCATCTCATGGGGCCCCCTACTGACCCCGGGCCCTCGGGCAGTGCCCGAGTTTCCAAATGGTCAGTCCGCCTCTGGTTCTGATGCTTGCGGGGAACAGAACCCGGAAGACGGATGCCGGCATCGGCCGAAGGAGATGGCCGAGGATGCTGCAGGGGGGACATCGCGGGAGAGCGCAGGACAAGGTAAGTGAAAGAGGGAATCCCAGAGCAACGCTGCAGGGTAATCCCAAGTGTAACTCGGGGGTTACTGCTTCTGGTACTGAAAGTTAACCCGGAGCTACACTCGGGAATACCGCCAGGGGGGTTAAGGAACCCTTACAGAACCCTGGCTGAAAATGAATGTTCTACACGATCACAGACTCCGTTCAGATCTGTGCGACCTGCATTCTATTCATTTCAGTGGGCTGCCCTACTTGCAGAAACACGGAGAAACATGTCCCTGACCCTTTATAATCGCACCACACCAAGTAGCAGCATCATGCGGTTTGGCACACACGAAAATGCAGCACGTCTGGTGATGGCTGGGGGTGCTATTAAGAATTAAAGAGCAACGCGTTTGCCTGCGGGCCAAGAACTAGCCCAAGTTTGCACGCGTTCCCAACCCGCAGTGCTGTGAACCTAGCCTTACAAAAAGTTACAGCGTACCGCAACAAAAACTTACCTTCGAGGATCTGATGAACACGGATGTCACGGACGTACTGCTGAACAGCGTAATCTTTCAAGTACCCGTATCCTCCATGCATCTGGAGCGCCTGGTTACAAACCTGCAACAACCATGGAATGAGGAGGCTGAGAATAGGCAATTATTTATTATTAAATACAGTGAAGGAAATAAATATTTGATCCCTGGCTGATTTTGATAGTTTGCCCACTCACAAAGAAATGATCAGTCTAAAAATTGAATGTTCGTTGTATTGTAACACTGAGAGACAGAATAGCAACAAAAAATTCAGCAGAAATGCATGTCTAACAAATGATGACTGATTTGCATGTTCATGAGGGAAATAAGTATTCGATTCCCTATCATTCAGCAGGATTTCTGGCTACCAGGTGTCTTTCATACAGGTAACAAGCTGAGATTAGAAGCAGTCTCTTAAAGGGAGTGCTGCTAATCTCATTTTGTTACCTGTATAAAAGACACCTGTCCACAGGAGCAATCAAACCATCAGATTCCAAACTCTCCACCATGGCAAAGACCAAAGAGCTGTCCAAGCATGTCAGGGACAAGACTGTAGACCTACACAAGGCTGGACTGGGCTACCAAATTATCGCCAAGCAGCTTGATGAGAAGGTGACAACAGTTGGTGCAATCATTCGCAAATGGAAGAAACACAAAACAGTCGTCAGTCTCCCTAGATCAAATACTTATTTCCTTCACTGTAGGTGTACAATTCCTACAGCTTGTTCTACACCTCATATCTAGAACTCTAAATCCATTGTTTTTTAAATTTTTGGAGTAAGAAATGGTTAAAACGCCTAGGAAAATTTTCTTTTACTTCCCTTCTCAGACATAACAGGAAGCAAAAGGATATATCTTTTCGATGTAAAGGGAAATCCTTTCTTTTGCCTACATTCCTGTCTTATAGTATGCTAAAGCACTATGTGGTTGATTTACTAAAACTGGAGCAGGCAAAATCTGGTGCAGCTGTGCATGGGAGCCAATCAGCTTCTAACTTCAGCTTGTTCAATTAAGCTTTGGCAATAATGCAGGCCATAGATGGGAAGAAAACCAGCCGATTTTTCTTTAAAAAAAACGAAAAAAGCGGTCGTTCAAGTGGCCGACGTTACCAGGAACGGTAAAAAAAAAAAAAAAAAATCGACTGATTTTTATCCCATCTACAGCCGGCAAAAAAGTGTCCCTGCAGAGAGCTCTGCTATTTCTTTGACAGTTCTTTGACATTTATAGCGGTTGCAACAATGTATCTATTTGTATCCATTTAGGATACAGATGTTTTTATTCGGAAACAAATAGATACATTGTTGCAACCGCTATAAATATCAAGGAACGGTCAAAGAAATAGCGGAGCTCTCTGCAGGGACACTTTTTGCCGAAGTGGAATAATTCCTCTTCTTCTTCTCCCATAACTGCCGCGAAAAATCGGCCGATTTTTTTCCAACTTTACCGATAAAAAAAATCTGCCAAAATACCGAAAAACGGCCGAACAATTAGCCCACTAACGATCCGAAAATCGGCCGATTTTATTTTCGGCTGAAAAATCGGCCGATTTTCGACCCATCTATGGCCTGCATAAGGCTAGGTTCACATATGTGCCGGTGGTGCCGCTGCAGATCCGCACAAAAATCCGTGCAGCCGCCACACCACCCACACAGGAGAATGCGAACCCGCAGGCGGGTGCCATTAATTCTAATGGCACGCCGCCCGTACTGGAAATCGCAACCGTACTGGGAACCGAGGTTCCTGTCCGCGCTGCATTTTCAGAAGAAGTGCAGGGACTTCTTCCCTGTGTGTCCCGGGGCACGGGAGTCCATTTAAATGAATGGGCTCTCGTACCCACGCAAAACGTGGACCACAGGAACGCGGATATGTGAACCAGGGGTTAGTCCTCATGCACACTGGATGTTTTTACAGCGGCTGTTTTTTGGCTTTTGACATTTTTTTCCATAGCCAGTAAACCCCCCAGCATGATATCCTGTCCATACACACATAGACTGAAATCAACATTTTTTGGTTGGAAAAAAAAAACCCAGGACTAGTGGATTTCTAGAGGAGTTTTTTAGCTGTAAAAACGCTCCAACACTGAAAAACACGGTAAAACGCCGCAAACCGGCGTTTTTTAAAAAATTTTTTGACCAAAAAAAAAAAAAAAGTTTTTTTGGTAAAAAAAAAAAAAAAAAAAAAGTTAAAAAATGCAAACGCGGAAAAACACAGGAAAACGCCACTAATCGTTGCAAAATGCCACTAAACGCTAATGCAAAAAAACGGTAAACAAAGCTGAAAAACTCAAGTTTTTAATGTGACTTTACACAGCTAACATTACCAGCGTTATCAAAACGCCCCGTGTGCATGAAGCCTAAGTCCCAATGCACGCGGGACGTTTTTACAGCGGCTGTTTTTGGCTTTTGGCGTTTTTTTCTACAGCCAGTAAAACTCCCCAGCATGTTATCCTATGTGCCCATGCACACATAGACTGGAATCAAGTCTAAAAAGTTTTTGGCAAGGATGTTTTTTGGCTGGGAAAAACCCACAGAATTATTAGGTTTTAGAGGAGTTTTTTAACTGTTAGAAACGATCTAATGCTGAAAAATGCGGTAAAAAAACGCGATAAACTGCCGTTTTTGGACTTTTTTTTGAGCAAAAACATATTTTTCTTCTGGTAAAAAAAAAACAAAACCTAAAAAATGCGAAAAAAAAAAAAAAATTGGCAAAACGCCACTAAATGCTAATGCAAAAATGCTAAAAAACTCATGTTTTTAACGTGACTTTACACAGCTAACGTTACCAGCGTTATTAAAACGCCCCGTGTGCATGGAGCCCAAAACTGAAGCGGACTGGTTTCTCTGCAAAGCTGCACCAGACTTTGTTCTCTCCGGTTTTAGTAAATCAACCCCTATGTATCATAAGCACATGCCATCATTTACAAAAAAAATAATTGTTTTCACCTTTTTTAATCCTTTGTTGCATTTCAGGGCTGCTGATCTCCTGCAGCCTCTTTGCAGTCATTTTCTGTATATATGCACTTCAGTGATGGCTGCCTGGCATTGGTCAGGGCGTGTTTGCTAATGGTTGCCACAGTGGACCATGCCTGTGCTGTGTGAACTGAGACAGCAACTTGTAGCCTCCATTCACTGCCCAAGTGACCATGCTGGAGCACAAGTAGGAGATGGGGCAGTGCATGGTTACCCTCTAACAGGAAGTGTCTGAAGAACTTACAAGATCATCAGCTATAGCTGCCAGCAGTGATCATTGTAATCTGCCGGTGGGGAAGGCTTCCCGCGCAACCTATCAGCAGGACACAACAGCGCTATCGGAGAGCGTGCCCCATCAAAACTGACTGTGTTGATGGGGGAATTCAGCAATTTTCTTTCCTGCAACCTGTAGTTGCAGAAAATAAATTGCACAATGCATAGCTGGCCTTAGCTCTGTGTGATCTCAGATAAGGGCCTAAATGTCATACAGCCCTCAGGCAGTTAAGGAGCAGGTTATAAATTCCCGAACATCCACCTCTGTGAGTGGAAAGAACAGAATCCATCCATAGACAGGCTCATCTAACGGAGAGACACTAGATTCTCAGACCCACCTTAAAGCACTCATCTGTGGCATACAGCTTTGCCATAGCGCAGAGAGTCGCCGCATCGCCATGTCCCTCTTGGAGTGCCTGGGCCGCGTGTCGCACTATAAGTCGTGCCGTCACCAGCTGTGTCGCCATCTCTGCCAGTCGGAACTGAAGATACTGTGGACAATACAAAAAAATGCTTTAACAAGGTGACAACGCTGTTCATTCTGCTGTGAAATTACAAAGTGCCGTTGTCATCCTGTGAAATTGCTTTAATTTGTCTGCCACTTACTTAACCTTTTAGTAACTCAAGCAGAGTTTTTCTTTTTGAAATTTAGATACCCAGGCCAAGCTTAGCAGCGTTGGTATGTAGGCTCATATGGAAGAAAATTATATTTGAAATATAATTTAAAAATATTCTTCATAAACATATTGCCATATATTTGAAATGCTACAATTTTGGCCATATTCAATATATTTCAATAAATATATTGTTATACAGTATTTATATAGCGCCAATAGTTTGCTCAGTGTTGTACATTACAATGGGAGACAATACATGAGACAGTACAATAACAATACAATGCGATACACGAGGGGTTCGAGGGCCCTGCTCCTTGGAGCTTACAATCTAGGAGGGAGGGGATATTGGTACGGGAGGAAAAGCTGTGGGGAATGGAGGTAGTGGTAGGAAGAGTGGAGGAGATCGGCAATTAGCTGAGGGCGGGGTAGGCTTCCCTGAAGAGGAGGGTCAGGGATCCTACAGCCTCATAGGGGAGAATGAAAGCTCCTCCTACAAGCTTTAACCAGTGCTCTGCTGGACACTGATAGAAGCCACAAAACTGCTATATACTGCTGATGAGAAAAGGTAATTAGCAGTTTATATTTACTACAATAATTGCATTTCCATATTGTGTGTACTGTGGGAGAGCGGATATAGTGAATGCAGGGTCCTGAGGGACCAGATATAGTGAATGCAGGGTCCTGAGGGACCAGATATAGTGAATGCAGGGTCCGAGGTTTAGTAACACTTTAAGCAGCCCATAGAGTATACGATTTTCTTTCATTCCACCAGAGATGGAAGGTAAGAAAATCTCTCGACTGTACACAATGCTTACTGCTAGCAGTTAGAGCTGCTGGCAGTGACCGCATGTGAAAGACCCTACAGGTTGGTTGTACCCAAGTCAATCCATGGACTGACTTGAGCACAAATAGCCTGTCCATAGATGAATCGAATCTCGGGTGGTCTCAGCTAAACCAACAGAGATTTGATCCATCTACGGCTGGCTTTAGGGTGGACCTTTCAGTTGAATATGTCCATAGCAGGGGCGGACTGACCATTTGGAAACTCGGGCACTGCCTGAGGGCCCAGGGTCAGTAGGGGGCCCCATGAGATGCCCCTGGTACCTTTTTCATAGGCTTTTTTGAGTTTGAGCAAGAACACAGGGGCCCCATGAGTTGTTAGTCCGCCTCTGGTCCATAGCCACCAAAGTTCTCTTTTCCTAGAGCTGGGACCTCTTTGGTTGCTATAGGCAGTGCAGACACCAACTCCTCCACGTATCTACAACAATGTGGCTACAGTTCTATTTAGGTACAATATAAAAGCAAAACCCTGATTTGCTTTTTTGTCACTTACTGCTGAAATGTTAATGATGGTTTTCCTCCATACTGACCTCGTCTTTCCAGTTTTGATGGGGCCAGCATATAGGAAGGCAATCATTAACAGGTCAGCAGCCTATATATATTTTATATACATACATATGTAAGGAACAATGGATTCACCTGGTAATTAGCCAAAGGCTCCCCGAAACTGCTTTCTCACAGCCATGTGATCGCGGGTGAGCAGGACGGAGGCGTGGGGCGGCCCCCAGAGAACAGGAGGCTGCAAAGCAAACATACAAAGTTCAAACCATGATGGTGTGCACGCAACAAACTGATCATCCAAAACTGGTAATTTAGAGAAACAACCCCATAAAATAAATATCATGTGGTGCTTAAACTTGAACAGTGCCCTGTATTGTTCAGCCATTAAAGTGATATTAAACCCAAAACCAAAAATGTAATATATTGCAGTTTACCAATCTTTAAAAGTAGTGGCTGCATTAGCTCTCTCTTTTTAGCCATTTTCCCCTCTCTTTTCATCTGGTGATCTGGCCAGTAACATACCTCCTGTATTAGAGTGCCCCCCCCCCCCCATTCTGGATGAAGGAGCACAGGCGTAAAGGTTTTTTTTACTTAAATAAAAACTGATCATTGTAAGCACCCCTGTCAGTGGTAAATTGTTTGTCTCATCCCTGTAAACTAATAACTCTGGAAAATTGGTCTGAATATAGGGGTTTGTACAATCAGACGTTAACATGTGTGGCCAGTTTACCAATGTTTATCCTTCCTCCGTTCAGCCCCCTCATTGCGATCCCAAAGCCCTGTCCTTCCTGTCCCAGCCGATTTGTTACAGGGACCGCGCAGTCCTCAAATATCACTGCTCGCGTTGGCTGAGAGTTCCATCCCACCTGAGGATGTCAGAAGTTGTGAAGGAAGAAATAAATATGAAAAAAATCAGGAATAATTATTTATAACAAAGCTGAATAAATTACAGGTTTGATTTACCTCTTGAAAAAAAATTAACAAATGCACCAACAAAAAATGAAAAAATAAAATAAAATAAAAAAATTTGCTTATAGTAAAGTAATTCTAAAGATAAATAAAAAAAAAATAATAAAACATCTTATACTTACCTTTTCTGCGCAGTGGTTTTGCACAAAACAGCCCCGATCTTCCTCTTCTAGGGTCCCCTGTGTGCGCTCTTGGCGTTTCCCCCCTGCCGAGTGCCCCATAGCAAGATAAATTAATAAAAAATAATAAACATCTTATACTTACCTTCTCTGTGCAATGGCTTTGCATAAAGCAGCCCCGATCCTCCTCTTCTAGGGTCTCCTGTGAGCGCTCTTGGCACCTCCCCCCTGCCGAGTGCCCCTATAGCAAGCCGCTTGCTATGGGGACACTCATGCGTGTTCACCCACAAGCCAGCTCTGTGTGTCCATTGACACACACAGCGCAGCTCAGCCCCACCCCCTGCTTCCTCCTCCTTGGCTGTGATTGACAGCCAATGGCTTCAGCTGCTGTGTCTGAGCCTATGAGGAGGGAGAGTGAAGAGAGAGAACTGATGCTCTCATGCACAGCGCTGGATCGGGCTCAGGTAAGTATAAGAGGGGCCTGGGAGGGAGAGCTGAATGCAGAAGATTTTGTTTACTTAATGCGGAGTATGCATTAATGTGAAAAACCTTAAACCCTTACGCACCACTTTAAATTTTTGCATTCTCACCTGCAGAGCATTACAACTGCGTTCAGTGGGCCACAGGTGCAATGCACAGGGTTACCCCCTAGCCCCAGGTCCACATGGAGATATGGATTTTCTGATATGGGGCTAGAGAAAGTTGTGAATGGACTAAAACTGGTGAGGTCAGCACCTGCTTATGGTGTTCTCTGGTGAGTCCCTCTGCTGTGGTGGCAGCTGGGGCTTATATTTTCTCATTCGCTGATCCCCATCAATGGCTGGCACTCAGCGCCCTTGATTCAGGTAAAAATGGGTGGTTTAGTTTTACGGTGGTGTATGCGACCATACTTCATGTTACAAGAGTACAATCCAAACGCACACGTTCCTGCGTTAAAAAATGGCTGTGTGTATAAGTGGGTGCTGCAGCGACCGTCGGCTGGAACCGAACAGAATCAGGAAGGGAGAATGTCACCAGCACACCGAGGATCACCAATATGGGTCTAGAAGTTTTAATGAATGATCACATAGTTACAGCTGTAACTATGTGATCGTTCATTAAAACTTTTGGACCCATATTGGTGATCCTCGGTGTGCTGGTGACATTCTACCGTATGTTGCACCCGAAATATGGGTATAACCCCAAACATGATCTAAAAAAGTAGACTGCACCTTTACTCATGTTTCATATACTTTAAAGCAGGGTTCCACTGATTTTCCTGGCATCACAATTCCCACACGCAGTACAGTCTGTAATAGCAATTAATTTTTATTATTAGTTCTAAATACCATATATATATGTGGGTGGCACTTCCTGTCCTGGACACCTAGGTGATTTCGTCATTAGGCGATCCCCTGGGACTCCTGGAATATCTGCATCATCTATCCCAGGAGTCTACGGGACGCCTAATAGTGAAACTGATTGACAGTGTTGATTGACAGGTTGCCATAACAATGGGGAGGGAACTTACACCGATGCCGACATTTCTATGGCAGCCTGTAATCAACAAGGTGCTCCGTGCAGTGTTATCACTATGCAGGCACGAAAATCGGGAGGTGCATGTTGGGTAGCCAGCTGCACGGATCCAGGAAACAAATAGGAGGGGGCTTCAGATGCCCACAGCAGCAATGGCTGCAGCCTGCCTTCTGGATTATTATGAGCAATTATTGATTTAAAAGCAACAAACTGCTGACAGTAATAACGATATCCTAGTTATATTATTCAAGCAGAATGAATCACGGGGTGCTTTTGTGAAAAAAAAAATGCTTTGGAGCCTGGAGCTCCGCTTTAACAAGAAAGAATCATTTATTTATTAGCAGTATTTATAGAATGCTGAAAATTCAAGCAGTGCTTTACATATTGTACCTTCACACGCGTCCCTGCCCACAAGGAGCCTACAATCTAAGGTCCCTAACTCACATTCATACATACACATACTAGGGACAATTTACATAGGAGCCAATGAACCTACCAGCATGTCTTTAGAGTGTGAAAGGGAAACCCCCGCACAAGCTCAGGGAGAACATGCAAACTCCATGCAGGTAGTGTCGATCCTATGCTGCAAGGCAGAAGTGCTAACCACTGTGCCACTGTGTTGAGTGTATCAAAAATCTGAACATTACACTAGTATACCTGTGATGGATATTAGATTATTTTAGGATAATGCACTCGGCTGGTGATCCTTCGGATTGTTTTATGGCTAGATTACTTTGGATCTGACTCTTCAAGTTGAGGGCCAGAGGTCAGATGTCACTTGAGGTCTGACAGCTGCTCCTTGTCAACTGCTTGAACTCCCATAACATCTTCCAACAACTGAGTGCATAGAAGTGTCAGATAACAGAGTCCTGTAGTTGAATAGCTTCTTCTTTTTTGTTTTTCTTTTATAACTCAAGGGCTTTGTTATTTGTTACAGTTATGCAGCCCTGTGTGTTGGGAAACACTTTAAGATGACACCAGCTCCTTTGGAAAATGCTAGTTGCTTGGCTGTCATTGTTTTTAAAACTTTCTGAGTTGCCCAACTGGAACAAAAACACAGCAAATGAAAATATGTTCTGAGTCAGTGAAGTACGATAGCCAGGGTGTGAAATACCAGCCAGGCAACAAGCATTTTCAGAAAGAGAGGTCAACTTTAGTAACTTCCATATCCCCTTATTGTAGAATTCCTCTAATGGTTTGCATGACAAACCTCGGAATATTTCTTCAGCTCAAATCTAGACCCGCTAAAATTTTGTTCCCTCTTGCTAATCTCCCCAGTAAATAAAAAAAAAAAAAAAAAGAATAAATGGTCAAAATACTTACCAGCAGCTGCGGTCGCATTAAACAGTTGGTCTAAAGTCTCCCTTGTTGTGCATTGCAGACTAAGAGGCTGCTTCTTTGGGTGCCCCACTTTGCTGCTTGGTGACATAGACACTTCTCAATGGGCCCAACCCCGGAATCCTCACAAGGTCCTGAAGACTTTTGTGGTGGCGTGATGGTGTCACAATGAATGGGAAGCCAGAAGACCAATCTGCGGTATGCGTCTGGACTGCAGTGGTAGATCACCGATCTTCACCCACAGTAGGAAAGTTGCAGTGGGTCATGTTACAGTGGACTTCTCAATTTTGTAAATAGGTGAGAGTGGAACAGGTGAGAATGGAACGGGTGAGAGCAGAATAGGTGAGAGTGGAACTGGTGAGAGCAGAATGGGTGAGAGCAGATTGGGGAGAGCAGAATAGGTGAGAATGGAACGGGTGAAATCAGAACAAGTGGATGCCGAACAGCTGAGAGCAGAACAGGTGAGAGTGGAATGGGTGGATGCCGAATGGGAGAGAGCTGAAAAGGTGCAAGTAGAAGAGGTGACAGCAAAACAGGTGACAGTGAATTGGATGGGAGCCAAACAGGTGGGTACTGATAAAGGAGAAAGCGGAACAGGTGAGAATGGAACGGGTGAGACCAAAATATTTGAGAGCCAAAGAGATGAGCGTGGAAAAGGTGAGGGCGCAACAGGTGAGGGGCGCAACAGGTGAGGGGCGCAACAGGTGAGGGCGGAACAAGTGATGGCGCAACAGGTGAGGGCGCAACAGGTGAGGGCGCAACAGGTGAGGGCGCAACAGGTGAGGGCGGAACTGGTGAGGGCGGAACAAGTGAGGGCAGAACAAGTGAGCAGAACAGCTGGGAGGGATGGGGGGGGACTTTCTATCTTTCCCTGTGATGGGCTTTATGAAACCTATACTGACAGAAATGTGTAGGATGACCCGCTCCTGAAAGTTGCCTGACTCCAGTACTTATTAGGTCACACACCGATAACAAACAGGCAGCAAGTGAATTCAGAACTACTTATCTGCATAACTCTTACAGATCATTAACTCAAAAATATTGAAGCACGAGCCCAGCAACTACCATGTTATAGCTCATCGCTGGCAGCATTACATTTGGCTTCTATGAAGAGATTCCTTGTATTCCTCTGACTTTGTTTTGCACAAATACCTTCTCACCTTCTTCTCTTTCTTGCCGAAGCTCAGGCCCGGTGTCCCCTTTTCTACCACTAGGCAGGAAATTCCTCGAGCTCCGCTGCCCCCTGTACGACACATCACAACATACACATCGGTGTCGCCAGCACCGCTAATAAACGCCTGGACAGAGACAGAGGGGCGGAAACATAACGTGATTGCATCTTCTTCAACGTCTAACACTAATATGCTTGTGTATGAACATGTGGGAGAACGTACCTTAGATCCATTCAGAATATAGCAGTCGCCGTTTCTCTTCGCCGATGTCAGCAATGACGCAGCATCACTTCCGCTGCCTGCCGAGCACAAGAGTGAACAGGACAGGACCACTCAAAACAAGACAGATCAGTACTATGCTGTGTACGATGGTGCATACTATTGTGCGTGCGATGGTGTGTACAATAGTGTGTACTATGGTGCGTACAATGGTGCGTACTATGGTGTGTACTATGGTGTGTACAATGGTGTGTACTATGGTGTGTACAATAGTGTGTACTATGGTGTGTACAATAGTGTGTACTATGGTGCGTACTATGGTGTGTACTATGGTGTGTACAATGGTGTGTACAAGGGTGTGTACAATAGTGTGTACTATGGTGTGTACAATGGTGCGTACTATGGTGTGTGCCATAGTGTGTACAATGGTGCGTACTATGGTGCGTGCGATGGTGTGTACAATGGTGCGTACTATGGCGCATGCGATGGTGTGTACAATGGTGCGTACTATGGCGCATGCGATGGTGTGTACAATGGTGCGTACTATGGTGCATGCGATGGTGTGTACAATGGTGCGTACTATGGTGCATGCGATGGTGTGTACAATGGTGTGTACTATGGTATGCACAATGGTGCATACTATGGTGAGTGCGATGGTGTGTACAATGGTGTGTACAATGGTGTGTACAATGGTGCGTGCGATGGTGTGTACAATGGTGCGTACAATGGTGCGTGCGATGGTGTGTACAATGGTGCGTACAATGGTGTGTACGATGGTGCATACTATGGTGCGTGCGATGGTGTGTACTATGGTGTGCACAATGGTGCGTACTATAGTGTGTGCAATAGTGTGTACAATGGTGCGTGCGAAAAACAAAAACAAATAATCTATGCCCAGCTTTGGGCAAGTAGAGGACAAAGGGGTTGATTTACTAAAGCTAAAGTTGCTCCAGAGCTTAGTAAATGAGCAGAAGCTCTGCTGACTTCCATCATCCAATCATGTGCCTGCAAAAAATGCGTTTTTATTTTTCTTTTCTTGCATGTAATTGGGTATTCTTTTATAGTGAAGCTTCACCTCATTTACTAAGCTCTGGAGCACGTGCACTTGCAGAGTGCACAGTCTATTTGCCTTTAGTAAATCAACCCCAAAGTGTCTCTTGCAGCATTCTTTTCCCAATACCAATTTACTATGCCTTGTTCTACATTGCTTTAGGCTCCATTACATATACGTCGATGCGAATTTTGTCATGCATTCTGCCTACTGCACCAAAACACACAACAAAGGGCGCATGCACCATTTGCAGCAAAGCAACACACCGCAATGAAGAGTTGTCTGCTACTGTGCGTCGTGCTGCTGCTCAGGATGAACTGAACTAACATGCGTTCCTGCAATGCTGTGTGAATCTGATGAGCAGACAGGTGAATATTTTTAGCTGATATTAAATGACAACATTTCAGGTCTCACCTGGCTCTGTCAGACAGTAAGATGCAAATTTCTCCATACTGCAGAGGGGAGGACAGAATCTGTGTCTCTGTTCTTCATTTCCAAAGGTATCGATCATCCAAACACACATGCTGCAAGGAACAGGGAGTTCCAAGTGTAATACATTAAAGGCATTAGAAACATTCCCAGCTGCACCTTGTATTTCTCGCCTGCATAAAATGCGCATTGACCATGTAGTTTCATGGTGTCAATGATGATGCCCTGTACACACAGCCTATAGTAGAATAAATATTCACATTCCTGTGTCAGAAATTTCTGTTTGTATTCAAACATGAGCCATTCGGCATGACATTGAACAGGTTAATACATGGCCTCTCTCTTTGGTCTAAGAACTGACACTTCCTGTGAAGAAACTACATATCCCACAATCCCTGGCTCTCGCAGGCTAGCACTGGTGCAGGTGAGAGATGAACAGTAATTAGTTCTAACAGAGACAAAAACAGGCAAAGCAATTAACAGAGAGTTTCCCATACTGGAAGAGATGTTTTCACCATATTTGTGATGGAACCCTGTGGAAATAGTGAGGCATGCGTTAGACGCCATGTAACCTGCAGCAAGAAGGTTCCTGTCCCTTTAGGCTTGGTTCACACCCAGGGGCAGACTGACCATTTGGAAACTCGGACACTGCCCGAGGGCCCGGGGTCAGAAGGGGGGCCCCATGAGATGCCCCTGGTACCTTTTTCATAGGCTTTTTTGAGTTTGGGCAAGGACACAGGGGCCCCATGATCCCCTATTGCCCAGGGGTCCCATGAGTTGTCCAGTACGCCCATGTTCACACCTATGTGTTTTTTAGTGCTTTTTGTGTTTTGCAGAAACTTACTACAGCCCAATTAACATGGTTCCCATGGGACACGTTCACATCTATGCATGTTCAACCACTGTGTTTTTCAATAGGGTAAGGGACACTTTCTTGCAGCAGATTGCAACATGAATAGGTATGAACCAGGCCTTCGATAACAGGGACAAGCTAGGTGAATAAATACATGGACATAGGAAGATCCATCAGCCACGACATGTTACAGCAGCAACATGTGAGCCCATCATTACAAGGCAAAGCCAACCATACAGCCGTGGCCAAAAGTTTTGAGAATGACACAAATATTAACGTTCACAAAGTCTGCTACTTCCGTGTTTTTAGATCTTTTTGTCAGATGTTACTATGGTATACTGAAGTATTATTACAAGCATTTCGTGTGTGTCAAAGGCTTTTATTGACAATTACATGAAGTTTATGCAAAGAGTCAATATTTTTAGTGTTGATTCTTCTTTTTCAAGATCTCTGCAATTCACCCCGACATGCTGTAAACCAACTTCTGGGCCACGTCCTGACTGATGGCAGCCCATTTTTGCATAGTCAATACTTGGCGTTTGTCAGAATTTGTGGAGTTTGTCAGAATTTGTGGGTTTTTTGTTCATCCGCTTCTGACCACAAGTTCTCAATGGGATTAAGGTCTGGGGTGTTTCCTGGCAATGGACCCAAAATTTCGATGTTTTGTTACCCAAGCCACTTAGCTATCACTTTTGCCTTATGGCAAGGTGCTCCATCATGCTGGAAAAGGCATTGCTCGTCACCAAATTGTTCTTGGATGATTGGGAGAAGTTGCTCTCGGAGGATGTTTTTGGACCATTCTTTATTCATGGCTATGTTCTTAGGCAACAATGTGAGTGAGCCCACTCCCTTGGCTGAGAAGCGACCCCACACATGAATGGTGTCAGGATGCTTTACTGGTGGCATGACACAGGACTGATGGTAGCACTCACCTTTTCTACTCTGGACAAGGATTTTTCCAGATGCCCCAAACAATCGGAAAGGGGATTCATCAGAGAAAATGATTTCATCCCAGTCCCCAGCAGTCCAATCCCTGGACCTTTTGCAAAATATCAGTCTGTCCATGATGTTTTTCCTGGAGAGAAGTGGCTTCTTTGCTGCCCTTCTTGACACCAGGTCATCCTCCAAAATTCTTTGTCTCACTGTGCGTGCCGATGCACTCACACCTGCCTGCTGCCATTCCTGAGCAAGCTCAGCACTGGTGGTGCCCCGATCCCGCAGCTGAATCAACTTTAGGAGACAGTTCTGGCGCTTGCTGGACTTTCTTGGGTGCCCTGAAGCATTCTTCACAACAATTGAACCTCTCTCCTTGAAGTTGTTGATGATCCGATAAATGGTTGATTTAGATGCAATCTTAGTAACAGTAATATCCTTTGCCTGTGAATCCCTTTTTGTGCAAAGTAATGATGACTGTACGTGTTTCCTTGCAGGTAACCATGGTTAACAGAGGAAGAACAATAATTCCAAGCACCACCCTCCATTTATAGCTTACAGTCTGTTATTCTTACTCAATCAGCATGACAGAGTGATCTCCGGCCTTGTCTTCGTCAACGAGAGAATCACTGACATGATGTCAGCTGGTCCTTTTGTGGCAGGACTGAAATGCAGTGGAAATATTTTTTTGGGGACTATGTTCATTTTCATGGCAAAGAGTGGCTTTGCAAGTAGTTGTAATTCATCTGATCACTCTTCATAACATTCTGGAGTATATGCAAATCACCATTAAAAAAAACTGAGGCAGCACTCTTTGTGAAAATTAATATATGTGTAATTCTCAAAACGTTTGGCCAGGGCAAATTTCAATCCATGTATGGGTTAGTTGGTCTATCAACAGACCTGTGTACACTAGCCTGTCTGTTTTTTTTTTCCAAACGATCAGCACCACCGGCTATAACCAGAAACACTGATCAATGTATCCTACCTGTGGAGAAGGCTCCCCACCGGAGGAAATACAGTAGCTCAGCAGGAGTGATTCCGCCAAGCATTCCAAATGTGTGGATGGGGGGATCAGTGCCTTTTTTCTTTTGTGCAGCCAACTGGTTGAACTGTGTATGGCGAGCCTAAGGCAAACAAAGAGCACAGGGAATAGGACTGCACTAACACCTAGCTACATTACTTATAACTGCTTGTCGCCCGCAGTAGTTGTACTGCGAGTGGGCGGCAGCTGCAGGCCGGGTGATCTGCTGGTACGCATTGACACACAGAGTGTGGCTTGGCCCCTCCCCCCACTCACTGGCTGTGATTGACAGCAGCAGTGGCCAATGGAGACAAATTCTCCACTCCAGCAGGCTCCCTCCACACTCTCCTAGACCGATCCCTGTCAAAATGTATTAAGGAAAAAGAACGCCCCACTAACTGATCCCACCACCCCCCCCCCTCTTTGCCTCCCTAAACACTTCACCTCTCTCACTGCTCCAGCGCTGTCTGGGCTGCAGCACCGCTCACCTCTCTTCTTGGTCTGACAACAGTGGGAGCCATAGGCTCCTACTGCTGTCACTCAAACTCCTGTGAGGAGGAAGCAGGGGTATAGCTTATTGGCGCTGTGTGCATCTATAGAGGCACACAGCCATACTCAGGAGCGCATGCACATTGGTGAACACCATAGCACTTGGCTTGAAAGAAAAGAAAAATAAATACGCTGTTACTTTAAAGCTGCAGCAGCAGTCTTGAACCGGCTTTCATTTTCTGTCTGAACAACTTCAATCATTGACCAATCCCCTCTTTTCCTGTTGTTGCAAGTCTCTCGCAGATTTTAGTTTTCTCTGCCATCAATTATTTTGTTCCAGAGCATTATATGAAGGAACACATTCTCAGCATCCCTATAGATGTGCATGCTGAAGCTACCAATCAGCAAACTGCCCAACTGAAGACTTTAGCACCAACAGGAAGCAGGATGCACATCTAAAGGGACACCGGGAAGTGTTTTTTGATATGACAAAGATCAAATCCAACACAACAAACACTTTTCTCCTGCGCTAGGAAAGGACACAGTAGACCCAATAGGAATGTTCTGGAATATGCACAGCTTGCTGCCCTCTACAGACCAGGGTGGTCCAAATACACTAGATGCAAATGGAGAAACAGAAAAAGGGCGCATCGACCTAGCGCATTATCATTTAAAATATTTATTGAAGAAACAAAGTAAGTATCACACTTACAATAGACATAAAAACACAGGCATGTCAAACTGAACAAGATGTATGATCCAAACAACATCTGAGTCCATACGATGGAACCCTGGATGACCAACTGGCTAACGCATTTTGAGGACACAACCTCTTCCTCAGAGCCAACACTACAGGAGTCTGCACTACTCTTTATATAGGTTACTAAATGATATCAAAAGGGCCATATCCTCTGCCAATCCCTCCACTGGCTTCCGATTCACAACGGATCAAATTCAAAATCCTAACGCTGACGTACAAAGCTGTCCACCATACTGCCCCAAACTACATCACTGACCTAATATCCAAGTACCGCCCAACACGCACACTCTGCTCCTCACAAGACCCCCTTCTATCTAGTTCTCTGGTCTCCTCCTCCCATGCCCGCCTCCAGGACTTCTCCAGGGTGTCACCCATCCTCTGGAACTCCCTGCCCCAACCCATCAGATTATCACCTACTCTCCTCTCGGCGCACCCTGAAAACCCATCTCTTCAGGGAAGCCTACCCCACCCCCTGCTAACTTGCCGACCTCCTCCACTCTTCCCACCACTCCATCCCCCACAGCTATCTCCTCCTGTGCCACCATCCCCTCCCTCCTAGATTGTAAGCTGGAAAGAGCAGGGCCCTCGATCCCCTCATGTTTTGCATTGTATTGGTATTGTTCTGTCACATGTTCTGTCCCCCTTTGTAATGTACAGCGCTGAGCGAACTATTGGTGGCGTTCCAGCCCCACATGTTTTATACCACTATGAACACCTCATTCCACTATCATCTCATCCCATCCCACAGTCTATCAGTATTCAGCTACATGGCAGTGGATCACACATGCTGGCCAGCCCCATATACTATTCACCTTTCCTTACATTTTTTTTTTTTTCAGTTTTGTTTTCATCATATACCACCAAAGATCAAAGGCAAAATTCTCTGATGCTGATTTGATATTCCGGAAGCAAAGAGTAAGCAGACATACCCAGTGATGATATCACTGGGTCTCAGAAGTTATTCTTAAAAACAAAACAAATAAATTGAAAACATTTGATTGCATGTTGACTGGAGGGGAACGGGAAACAAGGGAAGATATCATATAAGTACATTACATTTGCTTTAAAACTGGATTTTCATAAATGAACAGCAGAAAGCAATCATACATACTTGTGAATGCTCATGTATGCTGTGGTGCTGACACAACCCGTAGACAGGGCCTCAAAAATGACAGATGTGTCCAAACGTGACAATCCTGACCCGCCAACATCAGGACTGGTGTAGATCCCACCGAAGCCAAGCTGTGCCGCCTTCTGCATTGTTTCCACCGGGAAAATTTCCTGAATTGAGAGGAAACAAATGTTAGCGTTGTCTAGGATTAGCGTTCGGTACCTGCTTAGTAGAAGTGACGATTGATGGCTGGTTGTCAGCAGTGCCTTCACCTTCTATTGCTATTGTTTTAGAGACAAAATCAGCCTCTGTTCCTTCTTCCCATTTTCCTAGAATGGATGGGATTTTAAAATGAACTCTGGGATTAAAAAAAAAAAAAAAAAAAACAGCTCTGGGACAAAAAAAAGAACCCTTGCAGTGGGTCTCCCCTGCACTTCAAGGGTTAAATGCTTGTTAAATCAGATCTTCACCCTAAATTGAATTCAAAGAATATGTAAACCCGACATATTCCGTACCATGTACTTGCAAGAAAAATTATCCTGTTCTCTTTGTGTTGCTTCCTTTGTGTGAAATCCCTGGTGTTCCTGCCAGTCCCTCTGCTTTCCTATCAAAAACTGACCACACTAGGCATACGAGCAATGCGTTGTCAGTTCTCTAGCTGTGCTGGGAACTCAGCCTGCTCTCCTCCAATGATCAGACCTGATCGCCCCTCCTGCACAGCCAGTCACTGGAAAGATCAGTGTTCTGCTGTTTCTCCTCCCCCAGCTATTATGCAGCTATAACCAAAGGGCATGTTATCTCTTATAATAAGGGGGAAAAGTGTTTATGTTTTTTTTACATATATCTAAAAAAAAAAAAGGTTTTCCTTTCATTTCTATATTAAGCTGAATGGGTTGTCTTACAAGGTGAGGGTTTACATATACAGTGCTCCATCACTGGTGTTAGTGAGAGGAATAGTGTCCCATCATTGGAGCCAATGGGAAGAATGGTGCCCCATCATTGGGGCCAGTGGGAGGAATAGTGTTCCATCATTGGTGTCAGTGGGAAGAATGATGCCCCATCATTCGTGTCAGTGTGAAGAAAAATGCCCCATCATTGGTTTCAGTGGGAGGAATAGTGCCCCATCATTGGTGTCAGTGGGAGCAATAGTGCCCATTATTGGTGTCAGTGGGAGGAATAGTGCCCCATCATTGGTGTCAGTGGGAGGAATAGTGCCCCATCATTGGTGTCAGTGGGAGGAATAGTGCCCCATCATTGGTGTCAGTGGGAGGAATAGTGCCCCATCATTGGTGTCAGAGGGAGGAATAGTGCCCCATCATTGGTGTCAGTGGGAGGAATAGTGCCCATCATTGGTGTCAGTGGGAGGAATAGTGCCCCGTTGTGAGTGTCAGTGAGAGAATAGTGCCCCATCATTGGTGTCAGTGGAGGAATAGTGCCCCATCATTGGTGTCAGTGGGAGGAATAGTGCCCTATCATTGGTGTCGGTGGGAGAATAGTGCTCCATTATTGGTGTCACTGGGAGGAATAGTGCCCTATCATTGGTGTCAGTGGGAGGAATAGTGCCCCATCATTGGTGTCAGTGGGAGGAATAGTATCCCATCATTGGTATCATTGGGAGGAATAGTACCCTGTTGTGAGTGTCAGTGAAAGAATAGTGCCCCATCATGGAAGGAATAGTGCCCCATCATTGGTCAGTGGAAGTGCCCCATCATTGGTGTAGTGGGAGGAATAGTATCCCATCATTGTCAGTAGTGGTAATAGTGCCCCACTGTCAAGGTCAGTGGAAGGATTGGTGCCTCATCAATGGTGCCAGTGGGAAGAACCGATAAAGGCAAGCAGTAGGCCACATTCAGCCCAAGGGCCGCAGTTTGGAGATCTAGAGTAATTATGGCCGGAGGTGTGCTAGTCTATGCATCCGACTTGGATTTGTGCCGTTGTGCTGCTGTATATAAGATCTCTCAGGTAAAGCTGCTATTGTGTACATTACAAAGATGCTGGACGCCTGTTTGAGGGCCGCTATGGACCTGTCATATTGAAGCATGGGGCCTCAGCAAATAAAACGCTAATATAAGCACACAAAAGAAAACCGACTCCCACCAACCCCCACCTATAGAATAATGTTTAGCGGGACTGACGCTTATTGTTATGTTATACAAAAGCATCCATAGAGATGACGCATGCAACAGAATGCCAAACACAACTGGTAATTACACGCATTATTCACCACTCACACCGTGCGATCATACATTGTGCTCACTATACATTCCTGAAAACATCCATTCTATAGACATTTGATGACCAGGTAAACCACAAATTTGATACCACTGGTAATTAACCCCTTGCCCTCCAGAGGATTTCCCCCCCTTCCTGACCTGGCCATGTATGGCGCTACGTTACTTTAACTGACAATTGCGCGTTCATGCAACGCTGCACCCAAATTAAATTTATGTCCTTTTTTCCCACGAATAGAGCTTTCTTTCGGTGGTATTTGATCACCTCTGTTTTTTTTATTGTTTGCTCTATAAACAAAAAAAGACCAACAATTTAAAAAAAATATATATATTTTTGACTATTAAACATGTCCAGTACAAATGTTTTGAAAAATCACATTTCTTCATAAATTTAGACCAAAATGTATTCTGCTCCATGTCTTTGCTAAAAAAAAATCCCAATACGTGTAAATTCATTGGTTTACATGAAAGTTATAGTGTCTACAAATGGCGGTACAGATACTGGAATTTTTATATATATACTAGTAATGGCGACGATCAGCAATTTATTGCAGGACTGCGACGGGCATTCTGACACTGGGTGGGAACTGACTAACTGCCACTGATATCCCCAGTGACACTAATACAGTGATCAGAGCTAATAAAAAGCACTGATACTGTACTAATGGCACTGGGCAGGAAGGGGTTAACATGTGGGGTGATCAAAGGGTTAACTGTGTGCTGTTTTACATCATATGCTGTGTGCTGTTTTACTAGGGAGACATGCTGTGCAGAGAAATACACAGCAGCATGTCCTTGTTGGCAGGAGAGAGACCTGCATCGTTTACACACAAGCCTCTCCCATCAGCTTTGCTTGGCAATCGCTGGGTGCCAGCGGGGAATCTCAGGCTGGGACCCAGTGATTGACATTTATAGCTGCGCACGCCCCCTACCCGGAAATGCGAATCACGTATTTATATACATGATTTTGCGCAGCCCTGCCACTCTGTAGCAGTACTTCTAACACAGGGGGGCGGACAAGCGGTTAAAAGGATGGAAGATTAACTACTTCAATACCAGCCTATAAAACTCCACACCATGTGTGATGATATCTGCTGATCCCCCGCTCCGGTCCCTACTCACCTTCCTACTGTATCACTCCCACGCTGTACGCAGGCCAATTTTCAGTGCTGCTATAGTCTGACAATTTTTTTATCATGGAACGTTGTACCCCAATGAATTTTTTTTTAGACAGGCAGTGCTTTCTTTTGGTGTTATTTGATAACCGCAGTTTTTTCATCATTATTATTACTATATAAAGAAAAAATATTGAAAAAAGAAACCTGTTTTCCTTACTGTTCGTCAGAAAAAAGATATCAAATAAAAATGCCAATGCACTATGAATATCCCCAAAATGACCTGTTTTTGAAAAGTAGACACCCCGAGGTGATCATGAGTTTCTGCTACAATTTTGTGGGCATAAAACATACAGCTTGGTTAGATTCTTCCTTTCTGGAGGCTAATTACAAACGTTTTCTCCATGGTACCCTCCAGAATAGCTACGTTTAGTCCATCTACACTACCCCCCCCCCCCCCCCCCCCCCCCCCCCCCGGACTGACAATGCTGCTGTCCAAAGGTGTCTCTGTTGCTCCGGTATCCAGAGTGGGGGGCGCTCTAATATAGGAGGTGTGTTACTGACCAGAGGGAATGCAGAGGGGAAAAAGCCTAAAAAAATAAAACTAATTCAGCCCTCTCCTCCTCCTCAATTGTACACCCCCTCCCCCCCCCCCCCCCCCCCCCGCTCTGTAGTATATTTCCCAAAACCCTCCACATCCCCGGCTCAGTAGTAGTACATTCCCCATACCCCCCCCCCCTTTCCCACCTCCCTCCTGCTCCCTTGTAATCCCACAATACCCCTCCCCCCACTCTGCTGATCCTCCTTTGTGCTGAAACTCCACGCTGCTGATATCCTTCTGATCCCCCAGCGATGCTGATTCCCCACTAATTAGTTTACAGCTCAGTCCTTACTCCGGTCCCCGCTCACCTTCCTGCTGTATCACTCCCTCGCTGTACACCATGTGATATCTGCTGATCCCCCGCTCCGGTCCCCGCTCACCTTCCTGCTGTATCACTCCCACGCTGTACACCATGTGATATCTGCTAATCCCCCTGCTTCGGTCCCCGCTCACCTTCCTGCTGTATCACTCCCTCGCTGTACACCATGTGATATCTGCTGATCCCCCACTCTCCGGTCCCTGCTCACCTTCCTGCTGTATCACTCCCACGCTGTATACCATGTGAGATATCTGCTGATCCCCCATTCTGGTCCCCGCTCACCTTCCTGTTGTATCACTCCCACACTGTACACCATGTGATATCTGCTGATCCCCTGCTCCGGTCCCTGCTCACCTTTCTGCTGTATCACTCCCACGCTGTACACCATGTGAGATATCTGCTGATCCCCCATTCCGGTCCCCGCTCACCTTCCTGCTGTATCACTCCCACTGTACACCATGTGATATCTGCTGATCCCCTGCTCCGGTCCCCGCTCACCTTTCTGCTGTATCACTCCCACGCTGTACACCATGTGAGATATCTGATGATCCCCCATTCCGGTCCCCGCTCACCTTCCTGCTGTATCACTGCCACACTGTACACCATGTGATATCTGCTGATCCCCTGCTCCGGTCCCCGCTCACCTTTCTGCTGTATCACTCCCACGCTGTACACCATGTGAGATATCTGCTGATCCCTCATTCCGGTCCCCGCTCACCTTCCTGCTGTATCACTCCCACACTGTACACCATGTGATATCTGCTGATCCCCCGCTCCGGTCCCCGCTCACCTTCCTGCTGTATCACTCCCACACTGTACACCATGTGATATCTGCTGATCCCCCGCTCCGGTCCCCGCTCACCTTTCTGCTGTATCACTCCCACGCTGTACACCATGTGAGATATCTGCTGATCCCTCATTCCGGTCCCCGCTCACCTTCCTGCTGTATCACTCCCACACTGTACACCATGTGATATCTGCTGATCCCCCGCTCCGGTCCCCGCTCACCTTTCCTGCTGTATCACTCCCACACTGTACACCATGTGATATCTGCTGATCCCCCGCTCCGGTCCCCGCTCACCTTTCTGCTGTATCACTCCCACACTGTACACCATGTGTGATGATATCTACTGAACTCTCTGCTCCGGTCCCCGCTCACCTTCCTACTGTATCACTCCCACACTGTACACCATGTGAGATATCTGCTGATCCCCCGCTCCAGTCCCCGCTCACCTTCTTGCTCTATCCCTCCCACGCTGTACACCATGTGAGATATCACTTTAATTCCCAGATTGTCCCTTAATGTTAACCCCTTCCCAGCCAGTGTCATTAGTACACTGACAGTTTATAGTATTATATCTGATCACTGTCAGTGTCCCGCCCAGCCAGTGTCTGCTAGCGCCAGATTGCCTTCCACACTATTACAGTCCTGACCACCGCCATTACCAGTATAGCGTCATAACTGGATAAATTCCAGTATACTATATATACAATTTTAGCAAGGATGTGTAGCAGAATACATTTTGTGTTACATTTATGAAGACATTTGATTTTTTGTTTTGTGATAAAATACTACCAAAAGAAAGCTCTATTTGTGTAAAAAAATAATATCAATTTCATTTGGGTACAGTATTGCATGACCGAGCAATCGACAGTTAATGTAGCGCAGAATTGAATAGCAAAAAAATGCCCTGGTCATGAAGGGGTAAAACCTTTTGGAAGTCGAGTGGTAAAGTGATATAAAACCCTCAGTTTTTAGGCACTTTCAGCAGCTGATTTAATCACACACTGTGTATGCAGATTCTTTATCTTTTAATCCTTGCCCAAGTTCCAGTTTAACCCTTTGCCTACCGGGCACTTTTACCCCCTTCCTGCCCAGGCCAATTTTCAGCTTTCAGATCTGTTGCACTTTGTATGACAATTGCGCCATCATGCAACACCTTACCCATATAAAATTTTTATCACACAAATAGAGCTTTCTTTTGGTTGTATTTAATCACCACTGTTTTTTTTTATTTTTTGCACTATAAACGAAAAAAGACTGGAAATTTAAAAAGAAAAAAGTTTTTCTTTATTTCTAATATCAAATTTTGCAAACAAGAAAATTTTCTCCTTCACTGATGTGTGTTGATGATGCTGCACTAATAGGCTGCAATGATGAGGCGGCACTGGTGGGCATTGATGAGGCTGCACTGATATGTGGCACTGACAGGCGGCAATGATGGGCACTAATAGGCAGCACGGAGCCCTGATTCACACTAATGTGGTGCGGAATTCGCAGTACTTTCTGTGTGAATTCCACACCGCATCAGAATCGCACCCATGCGAACCGCTGCGTGTGTGTATGTTAAGATAACAACACCCCGAAAGCAGTCCGCAAAACGCGGTGTGATGTGCAGAATCGGATTGCAGAGGTGTGAATACCCGTGCGATCCGATTCTAGTGCGGACCAAAAAAAGGGTCCTGCACGTTTTTGGTGCGGTGCGATTAGAGCCATACAAAATGTATGGCTCCAAACGCAACGCACACAAATCGCATGTGCTTTGCACAGGAATGCGATGTGGTTCCTGTGCAAATCATATGCGATATACCGCACCACATATATGTGAACCCAGGTTGAAGGGCACTGACTGGCGGCACTGAAGGGCACAGATTGACAGCACTTTTGGCAACTCATGCAAAGCACTGTTGGAGCTCTTTTGGGGCTGCACTGATAATCAGTGCCCTGCTTATCAGTGTAGATGAATCCTTTCACAGTTGTCAGTTATCGGCAGTACTTTCCTCACTCTGTGACAGTGTGAGGAAAGTGCTGTTGATACCAGCAAGTGTATTTACATGGTGATCAGCTGTGATTGGACACAGCTAATCACCGGTAAAAAGCAGCTGTGATTGGTTCTTTACCATGTCATGTGATCAGCTGTGTCCAAAGGACACAGCAATCACAGACAGCGCCTGGTGTGCACAGCTGGGGGCACATGGGTTTGCGATCTGGGAGGACGTCATATGATGCCCTCCAAGAACTGGACGACCACGCTGCAGCCGTCATTCGGCTATAGCGTGGTCAAGAAGTGCCTAAGCTGATACCATGACTGCTTCCCCGGGTTTCTGCTCCTTCCTTTTGCAGAGTCTTATGTCTTTCTGCACTATGTGCATCAATAAAAACGTACAGCCCCATAGCCTAGGATGACAAGCCACTCTCCCTTGCTCCTCTCTTTTCCCTGCTATATAGCCTGACTTGAGACTGAACTGTCCACTGTTAACACTTTCCTGTGAAAACCAGAAGTTCAGGTAAGCAGCACTGAGAAAGCAGGAGCCAGCAGCACTGAACGTGCAGACTATCACTGAGCCGGAGCAAGGACGGAAACTATAGGAACTGTGACAAAGAGGTAAAGATGTGCCCTCACTTCCTGCCCGTGAGTGAGACAAGCCAGAAAACTGGAAGTGAAGAGAAATCTACAAATGAGGACACAGAATGCTGTCTGTTCCTTCCTATGCTGGTGACCCCCATTACCCTCACTGGTGGTCCAGGAAATCTAGGAGACAGAAAGTGTTTTTGATCCTAACAACCCATTCAACGCACATCACCGCAAGAGATGCAACTTTTTCAATGGCCCCCCAATGCACTATAGGCTGTTAACCACATGCCGCCCAGCCACTGTACATATACGGTGGCAGGGCGGCACTCACAGGCAAAACCACGTTTTAAAACGTGTGTTTTGTAAACAAATAGGGGGCGCGCGCGAGGCGCGCTGCCGCCCTATTTGTCCTGTGGATCACCGCCGCAGATGTCAGTTGCCGGGTCACAGCCGCTCATTAGCGGCTATGTCCCGGCGATCGGCGGTAAACGGTGACAGAGAGCACAGCTGCAGTAGCTGTACTGTCTGTCACTTCTCTGTCAGCTCGAGGATGAGCTGATCGAGGAAAGAATAGTTTCACTTTCTCGATCAGCCTTGTCCCGCCCAGTACACACCACCCCCCCCCTAGTAAAACACTTCCCTCACTCCTATAACCCTTCCCTGCTAAATAAAGTTAACCCCTTCCTCCCCATTGCCATTAGTACAGTGTCAGTTTTTTTTTTTTTTGCACTGATCACTCTATTAGTGTTTTTGGGGATGTCAGTGACCCCAAGTCAGTACCCCCCAATGTCAGAATGTCCGCCGCAGTCCTGCAGTCCCGCCATAAGTCGCTGGTCGCTGCCATAAGTCCCTGATCGCCGCCATAATTCACTGATCGCCGCCATTATTAGAATAAAAAAAAACCTAAAAATCCCAGTATCTTTCCCGCCATTTGTAAACGCTATAATTTTCACGTAAACCAATTAATTTACACGTATTGGGTTTTTTTTTTTAGAAAAGACATGTCGCAGAATACATTTTGGCAGAAATTTATGACTAAATTTGATTTTTGCATTTTTTTTTTACTGGACATGTTTTATAGCAAAAAGTCCAAAATATTGTTTTTTTTCCTCAAAATTGTCAGACTTTTTTTTTTATAGCGCAAAAAATAAAAACCGCACAGGCGATCAAATACCACCGAAAGAAAGCTCAATTTGTGGGGAAAAAAGGATGTAAATTTCATTTATGTACCATATTGCATGACCGCGCAATTGTCCGTTAAACTAGCGCAGCGCTGTATAGCAGAAAAATGGCGTAAATTGCAGTATTTATACCATAGTTTGTAGACGCTATAACTTCCACACAAAAGCAATCAATATACACTTATTGGGATTTTTTTTACCAAAAACATGGAGCAGAATACATTTTGGCCTAAATTTATAACCAACTTTGTGTTTACTATATATTTTTTATAGCTGAAAATAAAAAATATTATTTTTCTTCAAAATTTTTGGCGTTTTTTTTTTGTTTATAGCGTGAAAAATAAAAAGCGCACAGGTGATTAAATACCCCCGAAAGAAAGCTCTATTTGTGTGAAAAAAGCCCGTAAATTTCGTTTAGGTGCAGCATTGCATGACCGCGCAATTATCAGTTGAATTAGTGCAGCACTGAGTAGCAAAAAGAGGCCTGGTCATTAAGGGGGGTAAATCCTCAGGAGGGCAAGTGGTTAATTGTCATCATTGCTCCATCTTTACCTTTTCATCCCACAAGGCCATGTTAGGAGCCATCTCTTTGGAGGCAAAATCAAAGGCCACCTTCTGAAATTCCTTCTGCTCTTCAGTCAGGCCAATGGAGGCTACACAACAAGAGAAAGAGATGCAAATAAGAACAACGTCCTATAAAGGATAACTAAACACAAGAAATAAATGTATTATTATTAATATATTGCAACTTTGTTGCCATTTCACAGGCGCACGCAAATTTAAGGTTTGACATGTTGGGTATCTATTCAGTACAACCTCATCTTTTATAATTCATCCACAAAAAAAAAAAAAAAAAAAGTTTTTTACTAAAATTTTGCATTTCCTAGACCTTTGCGGTAATATTCTGTGACATAAAAAACTGGAACTACCGCTATTTTATGCTCTAAGGTGTCAGCTTTCAAAATATATCTCATCTTTGGGGTGTTTTTTTGTAATCTGCAGGCACGGAGTGATTTTGAAATGTGTGCAAACAATGCAAAAACGGCTCTGGCAGCAAAAGGGTTAAACTAGAAGTCGTCGGTCATAGGGAGCGCCACTTCTGTATCGCGGGTCCTGAGGACATGGCGGCAGTGTACTGGTCATCAGCAGAGAAAACGGGGTAAGTGGCTGAAGACTCTGCTGAAGATGTTCCTGCAGCACAATGAAGCCGTGTGTCACATGACCCAGAACCAGAGCCACAGCTTCATTCCCAGGTGAGAGCCAAGTCCCCCCTCCCCCCACTACCTTCCTAAGAGCTCACTGTTTTTATAAAGAGGACCTGAAGTTCAGTTTTCCCTGGCTCATAAACGTACAGGGAATGGGACTGATTTGTGGTGTGAAGGTGCAGGAATTTGGTCTGGTTCAAGGTGCATGCATTGGGGCTAATCTGGGGTCTAGGGTGCATGCACTGGGTCAATTTTAGGTCTGACGTGGTCGAAGGTGCATGCATAAGGGCCAATCTGAAGTCTTAAGTGCGCTCACTGGGGCCAATCTGATATCTGAGGGGCATACATTGGGGCCAAACTGAGGCTTGAGGTGCATGCACTGCCAGTCAAACTGGGGCCAGTCCTGCGTGAGGTGCATGCACTGGGGCCAGTCCGAGGTGCGTGCACTGGGGCCAGTCCGAGGTGCGTGCACTGGGGCCAGTCCGAGGTTGCGTGCACTGGGGCCAGTCCGAGTGTGCGTGCACTGGGGCCAGTCCGTGGTGCGTGCACTGGGGCCAGTCCGTGGTGCGTGCACTGGGGCCAGTCCGAGTGCGTGCACTGGGGCCAGTCCGTGGTGCGTGCACTGGGGCCAGTCCGTGGTGCGTGCACTGGGGCCAGTCCGTGGTGCGTGCACTGGGGCCAGTCCGTGGTGCGTGCACTGGGGCCAGTCCGTGGTGCGTGCACTGGGGCCAGTCCGTGGTGCGTGCACTGGGGCCAGTCCGTGGTGCGTGCACTGGGGCCAGTCCGTGGTGCGTGCACTGGGGCCAGTCCGAGGTGCGTGAACTGGGGGCAGTCCGAGGTGCATGCACTGGGGCCAGTCCGAGGTGCGTGCACTGGGGCCAGTCCGAGGTGCGTGCACTGGGGCCAGTCCGAGGTGCGTGCACTGGGGCCAGTCCGAGGTGCGTGCACTGGGGCCAGTCCGAGGTGCGTGAACTCAGGGCAGTCTGAGGTGAATGCATTCGTTTGTGAAAACAAACTAAGATGACGTTATTGTTCACTCTGGTTGCCTAATGCATGTAAACACATGTATGACACTACGAGGTCTATTTACACTTCAGACAAGTCAAAGTACATTTGAACAGCTTTCCTGAAGAATCCCCATATTATACCCAATGTGTTTTTTTCCTATGATCGTCATCGCCATCTAATGGCCATAATCCTGTATTCTCCTAATGGAGGTATTTCAAGAAGATTATCATCACTAGATGACGCTATAGAAGAAATACACATATGGAGGAAATCACCAGCACAGCTGTCAGTCACGTGCTCTTTCCTTCCCTACTCGGCTGTCACATGACGCCTCTCTCCCTAGCAGTCATGTGACCCTTCCCTTAACCATCATGGCTGACAGCGCCGCTCACGTGATCTGCTCTGCGACCATTTCTAATCAACACAAGAAGGTCAGCGAATCTCTTCGCCTTGGCTCCGCCTCGTGCCGCCCAACCTCCCCCTCCCCAGAGAAGCCCTTACGGTCTATCACTGAGGCGAGCCCTCTGCGAGGAACCGTCATCTGGCCGCCCACAGCATCCCGGAGGCATCGGGAGAGCAGAGGAACCGCTCTGAAGCCGGCCGCCATGCTTGTTAGTTGTGACCAAGTGCATGCTGGGAAGTGAAGTTCTCAGCAGAGTCCGCTTCTGTGTGCGAGACCCGCTGATGGACTACATTACCCAGCATCGCACGCAGAAGGGGTGGGTGGGAGAGGGCAGCCATTTTTTTTTTTTTTGAAAGGCGCCGATTGGCTGGAGAGGGAGGCGCAGCTTAAAGGAGAAGCAGCAGTTAGCTAATGTTGGGAAGAGAAGGAGGAGTGAGAGGACTGCGGGATGTCATTACCTTCTTTTATACATTTATATGAAAGTTACTTCCATAGTGATTGGATGTCTGCATTTTCCAGGGAAGCCCTAGGGTTAGAGGTCTCTGGATATGACAACCATCTCCTTTTTTTGTACTGTGTACCTCCTGCCTATAGAGGGCTCCCTTTATAATAATAGGCATCAGTGGATGCAAAAACAAACCCCCATCACTGGTGTCAGTGACCTCATTAATAACCCCCATTGGGGATAGTGATCTCAATAATAACCCCCATCATTGGTGTCAGTGACCAAAATAATAACCCCATCAGCAGCCACAATAATAACACCCATCATTGGTGTCAGTGACCAAAATAATAACACCCATCATTGGTGTCAGTGACTGAAATAATGACCCCCATCAGTAGCCACAATAATAACACCCATCGTTGGTGTCAGTGACTGAAATAATGACACCCATCAGTGACCATAATAACTCCCATCATTGGAATCAGTGACCACAATAATAACCCCCATTATTGGCGTCAGTGAGTGTAATAATAATCCCCATCACTGGCGTCAGGGACCGCAATTGTAACCCCCGTCATTGGTGTCAGTGAACAAAATAGTAACCCCTGTCATTGGCGTCAGTGACCGCAATAATAACCCCATCATTGGTTTCAATGACTGCAATAATAACCTCCATCATTGGTGTCAGTGACCACAATAATAACCCTCTACCATTGGTGTCAGAGGCCACAGTAATAGCCCCCATCATTGGTGTCAGTGACCACAATAATAACCCCCATCATTGGTTTCAGTACTATTGATGGTCAGTATAGTGAACCGTAAACCCCCATCCCCCTCCCCTGCATTGGTGGTCAGTATAGTGAACAGTAATCCCCCTCCCCTGCATTGGTGGTCAGTATAGTGAACACTAAACCCCCATCCCCCGCCCCTGCATTGGTGGTCAGTATAGTGAACAGTAAACCCCCATCCCCCTCCCCTGCATTGGTGGTCAGTATAGTGAACAGTAAACCCCCATCCCCCTCCCCTGCATTGGTGGTCAGTATAGTGAACAGTAATCCCCCTCCCCTGCATTGGTGGTCAGTATAGTGAACAGTAAACCCCCATCCCCCTCCCCTGCATTGGTGGTCAGTATAGTGAACAGTAAACCCCCATCCCCCTCCCCTGCATTGGTGGTCAGTATAGTGAACAGTAAACCCCCATCCCCCTCCCCTGCATTGGTGGTCAGTATAGTGAACAGTAATCCCCCTCCCCTGCATTGGTGGTCAGTATAGTGAACAGTAAACCCCCATCCCCCTCCCCTGCATTGGTGGTCAGTATAGTGAACAGTAAACCCCCATCCCCCTCCCCTGCATTGGTGGTCAGTATAATGAACAGTAATCCTCCTCCCCTGCATTGGTGGTCAGTATAGTGAATAGTAAACCCCCATCCCCCTCCCCTGCATTGGTGGTCAGTATAATGAACAGGAATCCCCCTCCCCTGCATTGGTGGTCAGTATAGTGAACACTAAACCCCCATCCCCCTCCCCTGCATTGGTGGCAGTGAAAGTTACACTGGCCCTGTCTGGGCTTTCTCTGTATATTTGCTGTCACAGCCTGGATTGTACCCGGGTCATTCAATGTTTCTGTTTTTCAGGGGGTGAACCATGCCACAGTCTAAGAGGAAGCGGGGGGCTTCACCAGCCACAGGTAAGCCCTGAATCCCCGTCTACGTGATAGTTGCTGAATGAGGTTCTCAGGTGCCCCACCCAGATTTCCTTTGGGGTAATTGAATTACAGGAGCAGAGCTACCAAAGTTTAGCTGAGTGCAGTGTGAACCCCTGAATGGGACGTTCCCTGGTGCCATTACATCACATATGTTGGTAGATCCTTGTGTTTCATATGAGGGGCTGCTGAGGGACAGAAATTCCTGCTTTTTATAAAGCCCCTTCTGTGTTCTGATAGATTCCAAGGAACTGAATGACAAAAAGGAAGATTCAGGTGCCGAACGAAAGGTGAAAGGGCGCAGGAAGGCGGCAGCATCTGGGAGGTCCGACTCCAATGAGAAGCCGAAAGAAGAATATCATTTTTGGTTGATGAAATCTGAGCCAGAGAGCCGGATAGAAAAAGGAATGGACATGAAGGTAGGTGGTGCAGGAAGGGCTTGTGGATGTGACTGTATGTAAACCAATGAGAACTATTTATTGCATATGAGCATTAAATAAGACCCCAACGATAGCCAGCCATCATATCACTAGACTCAAATACGTTTTTTGCCTCTTTTATCTTGCAGTCACCTGATGTAGCCTTACACAGCTCAGTGTCTGATAGAAGGCAGAGATTTGTTTCAGCATGTGACCTAGCTCTGAACTCAAGCTTTTAATGAAAGAACCTGTCCCCGGCATCCCTTTACAAGTGCATGCTCCACTCTGCTCACCACTGAGTGGCATAGACTTTAGCTGCGCAATCTGCAGATCAGATTATTTTTATCAGGCCTGATTGTGCAAAAGATTGCACAGCTAATGTTGTAGTGGGCAGCAGGGAGGGACATGCGCAAGGAATGCTGGTTATGTGTTCTTTCATAAAATGCCTGGGCTTAGAGCAGAGCATGGCTTCCTCCCAGGGGAAATCTGGAGCATGCTCAGCGAGAGTGGCAGCTCTGAAGATAAAAGACCAAATGGAATCGCAGAGTTGCCGCTCTGAATAAGAAAGCAGAGACAAATGACTGGATGAACCAGGTGTTTACTATCGAAGGATATAGGAATAAAGAAATGCTGATTTTAGAGCCAAAAAATTGGAAGTTTACATTAGATAATAGAATTTACTTAAATAAAGTTTACTTTTTTTTTTTTTACACCCTTACCCCCCTCCCACATGGAAGAAAAATATATCTGAAATATATTTTAAAAATATATTTAAAATACCAAACTTTTGGCCATATTCAATATATTTATTTATATATATATATATATATATATATATATATATATATATACATACTGTATGTTGAAATGCGTTTTTATTAAAGAAATATTTTAAAAATACATTTTCAAATATATTGTATGTCTTTAAAAATACAAATCTACATTTTTGGAATGCGTTCACAAATATATGTTAAAATTACTTTTTTATATGTTAAAAAAAATTTGAAGAATATAGTTAAAAAAAATATGTTTTTAAAAATAGTGCCCCATCAATGTTGTCAGTGGGAGGAATAATGCCCCATCATTGGGGTCAGTGGGAGGAATAATTTCACTTCATTGTATGATATGTCACTTGTTGCCATTTTATTATGACGTTGGTCACTTTTATTCAGCACTTTTTTCACTTCGGATTAGTTATGATTCATATTGCTGGTTTATTCATATGATATTCATCACATGATTCATATTGCTGGTTATCTTTATTTCAATACCATATTCATATTTAGCGCTGCACATTTTATTTTGTATTTTGATCTTGGGAGGTTGTTTGGTACCTTTTTGGTGTCCAAGCTGCTCCAATTATAGCGCTCACTTCTGCTTTTTTATGCTCATACAGGGGGTTTGTTCCAGTAATTGCCCCTTCCTTTCCTGAATGAACACAGTAAGTGATCAGTACTGATCACTCACTGTGTTCATAACGGAAGCATAGTAAACTGTTTTTTTCTGGGGGGAGGGAGCCTGTCAAGCAGACCTGTGGATGTATGTATGTGTGTGTGTGTGTGTGTGTGTGCGTATATATATATATATATATATATATATATATATATATATATATATATATATATATATATATATATATATATATATATATATATATATATATATATATATATAAGTGCTAGAATAATGGTATGGACCTGTTTGTTCCTCCATACTGGGTCATGACTGATGCAACTTATTAATGTCTTTCAGTTTGGAATAGAAGATTTGAAGGCCCAACCTGACCAAAGAGCATGCTGGGACGGAGTGCGAAATTATCAGGTCACAGTGGACATGTCAACATTGGGTCTTCTATTACAAATGCCTGGAGGGGGTGGGGGCAGGGGTTGTTGGTGGTCTATGTTACTGGGATGAGCCAGACAGTATCTGCCTCCCATATAATTATCTATTCCAGAAAAGGGACAAATGGACTTTTTGTTGTTGGTAACGCACACTTTTTTTCATTCGGCCTACAGGTCGTTCACAAACAACACAATAGATTTTGCTGGTAACTATGACTTTGTCTTTAATGATCTGGTGTCTGCCTAGGCTCGGAATTTCCTGAGACAAATGAAGGTCGGCCAGGAAGCGTTTTTCTATCACAGTAACTGTAAGGAGCCCGGTATCGCTGGGATTGTGAAGGTGAGGATAAGGAGCTGCTGTGTTCTGGTAATTGATGTACAAGGCCTTGTGTAATATCCACAGGAATGGGAAGTCTGAGGGGTTCCCATCGGCAATTGGTGAATAAAGTTGTGGCTGTTGCGATTTTTTTATGTTGCAAAATATTTTGCCCAGCTGTTGATCAAACACAAATTTTAAGAACAAAATACATTAACTGCTTCCTGTCCACCCTATAGCAGATATACTGATACAGGGTGGCACAAGTGCGAAAAATCGTGTGTGTGTATGTGTGTATATATATATATATATATATATATATATATAACGTGCAGCCCTAATATCACAATGAAAAAGTAAATGTATCAAGTGGAACGGTAAAGTGCAATACATAAATATATATAAAACTAATAGACAGGAAATCCGCAAACGGTAAAGAAATTATGTCCGTGAGCAAAGGTTTTTTCAGAGCAGCCGTGTGGGAACACAATTTGCTTCTGTGTGCGGGCAAAGCATCAACCAGCCAGCAATACTGACCGTAGCAGGTTGATATTTCTGCTGTCCAATGTTGTCTCCATTGTTCATCTGTTGAGTGGAGCCACCCTAAAACAGGAAGTGTGAAATTTTTAAAAAATTTTTACTGGACATGATTAATAGCAAAAAGTCAAAAATATTGTTTGTTTTTTTTTCTCAAAATTGTTGGCGATCAAATACCACCGAAAGAAAGCTCAATTTGTGGGAAAAAAGGACATAAATTTAATTTGGGTGCATGACCGCACAATTATCAGTTAAAGCATTGCAGTGCCATATCACAAAAAATGGGGAGCCCAGTGTGGTGTTCTACTCTGCAGCTGTGTTGTGTGTTCCTCTCAGAAATGTCCCTCCCATGCTGCAGAGACTGCGTACATGGCACAAGGGATGGCCCGAGACTGCGTACATGGCACAAGGGATGGCCCGAGACTGCGGTCATGGCACAACGGATGGCCCGAGACTGCAGTCATGGCACAACGGATGGCCCGAGACTGTGGTCATGGCACAACGGATGGCCCGAGACTGTGGTCATGGCACAACGGATGGCCTGAGACTGCGGTCATGGCACAAGGGATGGCCTGAGACTGCGGTCATGGCACAAGGGATGGTCAGACTGTGGACATGGCACAAGAGATGATCACAGACTGAGAACATGGGGCAAGGGATGGTCAGACACTGAACATGATATATGAGATGATCAGAGAGCTTTTGCATTGGTGTCATCCTTTCAGCTCCGAGATTACACTGGAGGGCACAGTGGTCAGGCAGGCAAAGGCAGATTGGCAGAGGATGGAGCAGCACCTCTATTGTGGCTGGGGATCACATTGGCAGCAGGATGGCAGTGCCAGTGAAGTAGATCCCATTCCATCCTCGCTCTCATGCCATGCTCGACCATGCCCCCCCCATTTCTGCTAAGTTATTTGTAAAAGGCGCTGAGCTCCATAGCTGTCCCGAGGCCTGTGTTTTTTTTATAGGTGGCCGCTGTCTGTACCGGACATTTATGGACAGCTTGTAAATCGCCTGAAATGTACGCACGGTCAGCAACCCTGTTGACCACACAGGATTCCCCGCCAATGATCTGGTGTACCTAATAAAGAATCCTCTGAGTATATTTGTCTTTGAAAGTGGAGCCTCTTTTACATGAGCCTGCTGGGTATGTGTTCAGCTGACCTTTTAAGAAATGTTTTTCCTAACCATAGATCGTGAAGGAGGCGTACCCAGACCACACTCAGTTTGATACTAAGAATCCCCACTATGATGCTTCTAGCAGCCAGGAGAATCCAAAATGGTCCATGGTGAGTGCCGAGGCGAGGACATCTCAATAGTATTATGGGCCCCTACCAGCCTGCCTTAATGTACGCACCTACTCTCAAGAATTAAGCTGGCCATAGGCAGTTCAATCCTGGCCGGTTCAGCAGGGGCCGGTTATGATTTGAACCATGTATAGGCAGGCTGAATCTACCTAAGTTTTATTTATTATTTATTTATTACAGGTATAGCCCCATCAATTTACACAGCACTTTACAAATATATATACATTCACATCAGTCCCTGACCCTCAAGGAGTGTACAGTCTAAGGAGTGTAAGGTCCCTAACTTACATTCATACATACATATACTAGGACCAATTTAGACAGGAGCCAATTCACCTACCAGCAGGGGCAGACTGACCATTTGAGCACTCGGGCGCTGCCCGAGGGCCCGGGGTCAGTAGGGGGCCCCATGAGATGCCCCTGGTACCTTTTCATTGGCTTTTTCATAGGCTTTTTTGGGTGTGGGTGAGGACACAGGGGCCCCATGATCCCCTATTGCCCAGGGGCCCCATGAGTTGTCAGTCCGCCCCTGCCTACCAGCATGTCTTTGGAGTGTGGGAGGAAACTGGAGTACCCGGAGAAAACCCAAGCAGGCACAGGGAAAACATGCAAACTCCAGGCAGGTGGTGCCGCGGTTGGAATTCGAACCAATGACCCTAGTACTGCCAGGCGGAAGTGCTGACCATTTAGCTACTGTGCTGCCCGGTAGTTGATCAATCGATCAACCTGGGTGTAACCAGCCTGTCGAATTTTACATTTATTATGGCCGCTAGCAGTAATCACTGTGTTCTCCTTCTCCTGGCAGGGACGGCTCCCCCTGCAAACCCCCTCCCCCCCCCCCCCCCCCCCCCAACCAGGAGAACTCATTGGCTCCACGGGACCTTTCAACACTGACTGTGCCCTTGGTTGAAAGAAAGGAAAATCGCTCCATCTATGGCCGCCTATAAACAGATGATAGAATTAAGCATATTTATTACTATTTTCAATAAAAATGATTTTATACAATAAGAAAACATGTTAATGAAGGGGGAGGGAGGAGCCAGATAAGGAAAACAATGCAGATTAAAATTCATCTTTAGGCCTCATGCTTAAAACTTTTCAGCATCAAAAAAACGCAGCAAAAAGCCCCATTTTGCATACATGTTAATGCTCGTTCCCGCATCTGGCGTTAATGCATTCTATTAACCAGAATTCTGGCCATTAGAATGTATTAACATGGGAACGCTCCCACACATTTTGGGCGCTTTTGAGGGTTTTTGATGCACAAAAGCTCCTTTTCTGAACGTACAAGTGATGGGTTATTTTTTGTGCCTGTAAACTCCCCTGCCACTAAACTCCTGAAAACGCCTATAGTGTGCATGGAGGCTAACATGGAGGGAAAAAAAAAGCTCAAATGCCCGAAGAAGCAACTTTTCAGCCCTGGTTCACACTGATGCTGTGTGGAATCTGCAGCATTTTATGTGCGAATTCTGCACCGCATCAGAATCTCACCCCGTTCATGCGAACCGCTGCAGGTGTGTATGTTAAGTTAACAACACCCCGACAGCGGTCCGCAAAACGCGGTGCAATCTGCAGAATCGGATCACATAGGTGTGAATACCCGTGCGATCCGATTCTATTGCGGACCCAAAAAAGGGTTTTGCACGTTTTTGGTGTGGGTGCGGTGCAATTAGAGCCAAACATAATAATGTACGGCTCCAATCACAGCCCACACAAATCGCATGTGAATGTGGTGCGGTTCCTGTGCAAATCGCTTGTGAATGTGGTGCGGTTCCTGTGCGAATCACATGCGATGTACAGCACCGCATCAGTGTGAACCCAGGCTAATGCATAGAATGCATTAAGGTGAAAAACCTTCTGTGCTGCAAAATCCCCCCAGCCACCCCCCTCCAACTCTTGCCTAAGCTCGATCTGATCCAGCGATGTGTACAAGAGCAGCGGGTCTCACCGCGGTCTTCCTCCTCCCTGGGAAGATTGATAGCAGTTATCAATCAGATGCAATGTGTCAATGTGCTCTGTGTCAATGGATGCAGACAAGGCGGCTCAGGAGCGAGCCTGCACAGGTGCCCTCATGGAAAGTGTTTGCAATTTTATTAGCTGATCTTTTTTTTTTTTCTGGTTTTAGCCATCCAAAAATTCCATTGCATTTAAATGTGATGTATAATTATCTGTGCAGCCTGGAAAAACTGTCACTGTAGGTAGTGCAATGGAGCCTAATGCCCTGTGTCTGCAGCTATTTCAGACTAAAGGTGGGAGATACGTCTTTATTCCACAGCTGACTACGGTTTGTTTACCCCCCCCAGGTGGACGTGCAGTTTGTACGGATGCTGGGACGTTACATCCCGGTTGGCAGAGCTGAAGCAGATACATCAGAAGCACAAGGCATCGGATGGCCCTCTGCGAAACATGGCGCTCTTTACCAGAGCAAGGCTGTCCATACAGCCCCTCACGCAAGGTGCAATGTGCTGCTAAGAGTATGGTTTTGGATCAGTTGTGTCTAAATATGTACAAGCACTGAGCCTCCTCTAATGAGAGGCATTCAGAGTTAGTGAACTGTGCTCATGCAGGGTGCAATAGCAGCTTTACTTTAATGCCAGCTCCAGCAACTGCCTATACTTGCTCTGCCACTACTTTGATCATGGGAGCGAGTGGATGATCCCTGCTTACAGAAGGCTAAGGACTCTCTTCTTACCCATGTGACTGCACTGGCTACTAGTGTGCCCAATTGGCAAGCAGCAATGCTGTCACAGGGGACTAAAAATGGAGTGTCTTCCCCCCATCCCAGGTATTTTATTTTGTTTCCCTGCTTCACAAATAGAGTAGTGATGTGAGTATAAATGACTGTAGGGATCAACGGTGGAAGTGTTGATTTCACTTCTGTTTTTGGGTGTCAAGGGCAGGTTTTAAAGCAGTAATAAAACTAAAAATACTGTAGACAGGGAAGTTTTTTTTTATGACAGAAGAGACCCTGATGGTCTCTTCTGCCATAAAAGCTTCTTCCTGTCTGTCATTGAACCCTCTGGAGAAGACCCCACCCATGGACGTAACGCATAAGGGTTGAGCAAAGGCAGTGACGTCATCACGTCCACCTGTTCAACCCAGATGAGTGAGTGGTGGCATGTGCTTGTTGGTAACGTGATCCTTGATCTCCATATGTATGGAATTTTAAGGTGATATGTCATCTCTCTTTTGTGAGCAGTTGGTATTTATGTTTTATGGTGAAAAAAAGCAGCTGATTTTAAAAGTACGCTGAACAAGGCATATCACTGGATTTTGAAGAATTTTTTTTTTTTTTTTTGGACTGTGCTGTTGATAATTTGATGTTTATTGGGACTGAATATTTAATATTTGTTACACAAATTTGATTGATTTTATATAAAGTTTTGAGCACAACATCAATCGTTCTAGTAGTGCGGCACATTTCTAATTTTATTCTATTTTGCCTGTCAGCGGTGATGTAAACTAAGCCACACGTACGCAGCTCAGAGTACATTACAGCACCTGTCCTGTGCCATGGCGATGTGACTTCTGTACACATGTACAGGAGTGATGTCATCATGGCTCGGCCGTTCAAGAGGCCGAATGGAGTGAACCTGAAAGGAAGACCGAGTGCAGATGGAAGCACCCAAGCACTGACAGAGCACCATTGGTGGTCTTCCTTCGACGTGTAAGTCTGCCATAATGTGCTAGTATGTGATGCATACAAACATTATGGCATTAAGCTACAGGGGCCCAGTTAAAAAAAAAAAAAAAAAAAAAAAAAAAAAAAAAAATGAACTTCCTATCGCTGTAAGAAGGTGACACAGCAAGGTCAACAATAAAGGATATTTTCTATGATAGGGTTACAATAAAGCCGTAATCAAACCCTCCGCCGTCTTCTTTCCTCCCACATTCATTTTGGTGAAACTCCACTTTAAAGCCCAACTTTGGGCTACTTTTGCTGTCGCCTACAGCAATCCCTTTTCACCACAATATGAATTAGTTGGTATTCTTTGAACCCACCAGCCTAACCACTTGCCGCTGGCTCACCACACAATTACTGCGAGCGGTCGGCAGCTGCAGGCGTGTACATGTACGTCCCTGCCTTGTGCGTTTGCGGGTTAATGTGTGCTCCCTCTACTGACCTGTGCTGAGATTGGGCACAGCACATATTTTTTTTTAGCCAATGATTTTGGCTAAAACTTGCTAATAGGCTGTGTCCAATAACAGCACAGAGTTCTGTGTTTACAAATACACAGGAGGATAGCATTCTGGTCATTTTGTCCCCCTGAAAAGCAGGGAGAAAAAACTGCCAGAACTGTTCTTAAAAGCAGCACATATTACATTTGTTAGGCACACAGTTAACCACTTGATTAATCCCTTCCCAGCCAATGTCATTCGTAAAGTGTACAGTAATATATCCAATTACTGTATTAGTGTCACTATTGATGTCAGTGTCCCTCCCAGCCAGTGTCTGTTAGCGCCAGATTGCCCGTCGCACTATCATAGTCCCACTAGTTGCTGATCATCACCACTACAAGTACGAGGTGTATCCAGAATGTAATGAGAATGAAGTTCCTACGCTCGAGAGGTCTCTGCGAAGGGAGAAGCTGCCCAAAGACACTTGGGATGCCAGGCAGTGTTAATTATGATGTCAAATTTTGATTTAGTTATAGTCATTTGACTAATATGCCATTTTAGTTTTAGTCGTATTTTAGTCATTTGAATAGTTTTTGGTTTTAGTTGTATATTAGCTGGAGGAATCATGTGACGATGTGCAAGATTGTATGACACCCGAGAACCTCAACTAAATATTTGGGGAAATATATCATCATTCTACCTATGAAATGCTTGAAGTTTTTTTATTATATGGTTTAAAGGTTTTGTTAATAAATAAATACAGGTGTACCTCGGTTTACGAACGCTTCAGTTAACGTAATTTTCGGTTTACGAATGAAAATCCATTGAAAATAGTGCCTCGGTTTACGAATTTTTCCCCAGGATGCATTGCACCTTGGAGGTTTATAGCGCCGGCCCCATGCCTTTAAAGTGCACTTTTTTGAAGTTTTGAACAGATAATCCATTCCGTAAGTCAGAAAAAGTCTTAATTGGTTTTCAATGCATTTACAAATGTTTTTTTAATCATGTCCCTGTACAGTATTTATGCCTTTAAAGTGCACTTTATAAAGAGTTTAACAGATAAAACTTTTTTTTTACTTTTTTCTTACCTCCGGAACGGATTAATTGGTTTTCAATGTATTTATGAATTAATTTTTAATCATGTCCCTGTACAGTATTTATGCCTTTAAAGTGCACTTCAAAAAGAGTTTTGAACAGATAAAAAAATACTTTTTTCTGACCTCTGGAATGCATTAATTGGTTTTCAATGCATTCCTATGGGAAACCGCGTTTCGGTTTACAAATTTTACGCCTGTACGTCTTATCAGACAATGGTGTTAAGTGTATGTGATTAAAAGTTCACATTCTATTCTTACAAAACATTCTCGATTTTCAAAATTGAGACATACCTGAGTTTTTGTTGCAGCCACGGTGCCACCCGGTGGTTGCAAACACATCATTTTAGCTTAGTCGTATTTTAGTTGACTAAAATTTATTGGGATTAATCAATTTGTAATGCATTGTGTAAGCATTGCTCTAGAATTGCAAAACTCGTTCTATACACCTGGAGTAAAAAATCTAATAGCATGTTAATATTTATAGCATTGAGGTTTGAACATGCAATACAGACACAGATTTAGCTGTTGTGACATGTAATATCTTTAACCCCTCGCCCTCCTTTAAGGCTAGGTTCACATCTGTGTGGGTGGTGCCACTGCGGATCCGCAAAAAAACCACCCACAAAGAGGAATGCGGACCCGTGGGTGGGTGCCATTAGTTCTAATAGCACCCCGCCCGCACTGGAAAACGCAACCTTACTGGGAACCGAGGTTCCCGTGCGGGGCTGCGTTTTCAGAAGTGCAGGGACTTCTTCCCTGCATGTCCCGGGGCACGGGAGTCCATTCAAATGAACGGGCTCTCGTGCCCGTGCAAAGCGTGGACCGCAGGAATGTGGATATGTGAACCGGGGGTAACAAAGTAAAGTTTTATATGAGATTTTAGTGATGGGTTTTCAGAATTTAATGAGCTTTTTTGCTGGCATTTTGAAACAAAAGCTGACACACCTATTAAGTAAATGCACAAAGCCATGGATACACATTCTCCCAATCCCAGACATGCTTAACATGCAAATATTGGTTTTGGTTGTGCTGTCTCTGCCCCCCCCCCCACCATTCATTGTATGTGCGCCTTTCTCTATAGCTCATTACCATGACATGTTCCAAAGTTGCTGATATAAATAAACCTATCAATCATATCTCATCTTTTACCCTTTTTACAGCTTTATGTGGATAATGACACTATTGTTTGTTTTTTTTTATCTTGCAGAAGAGTTTGACTTTGTGCTGAGCCTGGAAGATGAGAAGCTCTAGCAGAGGTTGCAATGGAAACTCCCATTCCTGTTCTGTTTACTGAGAACTATTAGCACCTGTTTAGTTTTTGGAAATGTTAAAATGGATAAAAATAGACCAATCTTTCTGAAGAATTCTTTCCATCTGTTTGTATGAAGTTGTTTAATAAATTTTACTCCCTTGAAAACTTAATTGTAGGAAGTGTTCTCTGTAACTTGGGGTTCTAAATAGGATCAATATGCTTTTTCTACCACAAAGGTGGGTAGAGGTTCTGTGTCCTAAATGCCCTCCTGTATTGCACATATTGAGCTTGAAAACTTTTTGTAGCAAAGGACTTTTTTGGGCATATATTATTGACTAAAAAAGGTTTACTTATAAAAAAAAAAGAAAAAAAAAACAGATTTATTAAATATCTATTAAAAACATATACATCATTACATCCGATGTTTAACCACTTCAATACTGGCCACTTTCACCATCTACCTGCCAATGCCAATAATTATCTTTCAGCGCTTTCATACTTTGTGCAACACTGTACCCATGTGAAAATGTTATAATTTTTTAGGACAGATACAGCTTTCTTTTGGTGGTATTTAATTACCACTGTTTTTTTTTGCTAAACAAACAAAAAAAGACCGAACATTTTGAAGAAAAAAAACTTTTCTTAGTTTCTGTTATAAAATTTAGCAAATAAGTAATTTTTGTTCTTCACTGATGTGTGCTGATGAGGCGGCAGTGTTGGGTGCTGATGAGGCGGCAGTGTTGGGTGCTGATGAGGCGGCAGTGTTGGGTGCTGATGAGGCGGCAGTGTTGGGTGCTGATGAGGCGGCAGTGTTGGGTGCTGATGAGGCGGCAGTGTTGTTGATGAGCGGCAGTGTTGGGCACTGATGAGGCGGCAGTGTTGGGCGCTGATGAGGCGGCAGTGTTGGGCACTGATGAGGCGGCAGTGTTGGACACTGATGAGGTGGCTGCGATGGGCACTGTAAGCTGTATTGATGGGGCTGCACTGATAATCAGTAGTGATCACATGCGATCAGCTGTGTGAACAATATCCGTATATTCAAGCTCAGTACATAAAATCATGAAATTTAGATATGGTGTGCTGGAGTGGAAACTATTCCTTCCAATGAGGAGGCATCCAGGGCAGGGGTGGACTGACCATTTGGAAACTCGGGCACTGCCCGAGGGCCCGGGGTCAGTAGGGGGCCCCATGAGATGCCCCTGGTACCTTTTTCATAGGCTTTTTTGAGTTTGGGCAAGGACACAGGGGCCCCATAATCCCTTATTGCCCGGGGCCCCATGAGTTGTCAGTCCGCCCCTGATCCAGGGGACTACGAAATGGGGATCCAAATGCATATCATTTCTTTAACTAATTACTAGGAGGTTTCAGTCACTCTGGAGAAATTGGATCATCTGACAGTCTCCTATGTTTTGCATAAGCAAAGTACTCAAAATACGAACCATTAAAAAAGATTTTCCTTGGGATGCCAAGTAAAAGCAATCACTTAGGTAGAGATGACATAGCAGCAAGTTCAAGTATTTAGCCCAAGGCCAAAGGGCATAGTTTCCATAGTCCCTAATATTATAATACAGGATTTATATAGCGCCGACAGTTTGCTCAGCGCTTTACAATATAAAAGGAGATAATACAGCAACATTACAGTTCAATACAAGAGGGTTAGGAGGGCCTTGCTCCTTGGAGCTTAGAATCTAGTAAAGAAAATGGATCACAAGAAACGTCCCTCTTGCCTCTCCCATCAAACATGCTTTTTTGTACCAATTCCTTCTGATATTGTTTGATCGGGGAATTTATTAGTTAGCACTTCACTTGTGATTGTCCAAGTGGCTACAATTCTTCCTCAAATGACAAAACTGACTCTTGGGGATAATAGATATCCATTTGGGGTGATGACAACTATTAGCATGGAGGTAGGAATTGCCAGCAAACATTTTGAAATTATTTTTGTTGATGTTATGTTCCTGGTGGCCCAAGTCAAGATTGAGTTTGGTGGGTGAGAAGGAGGACCCAATGTCTGGGAAAAAAAAACATTTTGCTTGATGAGTTCAGAAATATTGTGGCTCCGGAACAACTCTGTGAGTGTCCTAGAGTGGCCCAGCCAGAGCCCTGACTTGAACCATACTGAACATCTCTGGAGAGACCTGAAACTGGCTGCCCACCGACACTCCCCATTCAACTTGACTGAGCTTGAGAGGATTTGTAAAGTAGAATGTCAGAAAATCCCCCAATCCAGGTGTGCAAGGCTTGTGCTGTCATACCCAAACAGACCTGAGGCTGTAATTGCTGCCAAAGGTGCTTCAACAAAGTACTGAATAAAGGGTCTGAACAGGGCTGGGACAAAGGCTGGGCGGGAGGGACAGCTGCCCTGGGTGCAATGGTTTACTGTAGGGATGGGGGTATTTTCCTCCTCTTACAAGGTTGACAGAAGTAGTGACAGCGGCATCGATTTTGACAAGTGAGTGCCTGCTGGGCGTAGGATCCCCTCAGCTTGCACATGGGGAAGGGGGGCGTAGTATGGCATCTTTGCCCTGGGCACTGGATCTGAATACTTAAGCACATGTAATATTTCAGTTATTTCTTTTTATTAAATTTACAGACGTTTTAAAATTATTTTTTAACTTTGTCATTATGGGGTACTGAGTGAAAAATGAATTTAAAGGAGAAGTAACAGCCGAAGCTCTTTTGGATGTACTTCTATGGATCACAGGAGTGCAGTTCGTTCTGGCACATCAAACAACAAACAAATGTCAACTCATTGTATGCCGAATGGTTGGAAGGCTAGTGCGCCTTGGGGTACAAGCCTCCTTCCTAATCCAACCTCCTGCACTACCCCAATTTATATGTGCACACAACTGGAGCCTCCCTCCTCCTCAATGAGCAAATAGATAGTAGAACACCCAGCCAACTATTACCCCAACATGGCTGGTGCTCATACTGCACCTTAGAGCCACTGTAAGATATCCCCTGCCTGAAAACTCATCCATGGGCCATCACAGCCTCCGCCATATTTAAAAAGCAAAGATATTACTTGATACAACAATATTAAAACACTTGCAAGTGCAGTAATAAAGATCCAGAAGCCACATGGATCTTCTAGCAAAGAAAGGGTTAATTGCGCACTTCCACCTCATCTGCCAGCTATGAAAGGGTGAATGTCCAGTCGCCAGAAATCAATTTCTAGGAATGAAAGGGTTAATCATCCTCTTGGATTGGGGTGGGCCAGGTGCAATGACTGTAAGCCAGCCACACCCCCTCGGCTTGAGTCCCACCCAATCACTGAGAGCACTGCAGCAGGCTCCGCCTTGAGAATGTCATCAAAGGCATGAGTCCCAATTCGTGATAGTTGATCACTAATGGGGGAGAGGAGGTAGGGAGGGATCAGATCCTCACTGCTTGTGTGACCCCACCTGGCAGCAGAGCACTACAATGAGCACACAAGCTGCTTGCCTGGAATGTCTCTGAATCCGACTCTCCATGGCTGGCATTGATTTCTGGAATGGAGCCCGGGACAAGGTCATGTCAGGACAGGACATAAAAATCTGTGAGTGTTCCAGACAAATCAGGACTGTTGGCAACTATGGTTTTTCATCTATCCGTTGACAGATGAAAACCGAGCAAACCGATGTAAACAATGATTTTCCATTTATACCCGTGTCTGTTCAAGAAGTGGACGTAAATGGATGTAAACAAATGGTCTGTTTTTGCATCCACTGTTTCATTGGTTGTTAGGAGTCTGTACCCGCCAGCATGCTGACAACCAGTGATTCATCCCTGGTGTCAGCAGCAGGGATGAGTCATTGGCTGTTAAGGAGCCAGAACCTGCCAGCTTCCTAACAACGAGTCATCCCTGCTGTCAACAGAGAAAAAATGGTGTCTGTTATGGATTTTTTTGGAGGACCTACTGCCCAAAAAAAAAAAAGCGCAGGGTCTCACCCAAAATCCATATCAGACCCTTATCCAAGCATGTACCAGGTCACATACTTCTCAACATGGGGGGGGGGAATTCCCCCCTACCACCACCTCGTCCCCATGTTGATGAGGACAAGGGCCTCTACCCCACAAACCTGGCCCAGCGGTTGTGAGGGTGTGGGAGGGGTGAATTATCGGAATCTAGTCGCCACATCTTTGCCCCCCAAGGGAATGAGTATGGGGTACATAGAACCACCCCCCCCCCCCCACACTCATTCACAAAAAAAATGACAAGTGTATATAAACACAAATTTTGACAAGTCCTTTATTAGAATAAAAATGTGTAGTTCCACATCAATCACAATAAACGATGGCCGCTGACCCACATGGAAAAAAAAACCTGCCACCCGCTGAACCTGACTGCTCCCGTTGATTACCTCTGCCAAAAGACATAGCAGGTTTTCCCTCTAAAGTAAACAAAGGTGCCAGGCTAATCGATGATGTCACTGAGTGACCCTGTCCCCTATGACGTCTCATACGCATACATTTAGCAACTTGATGAGCATGGTTTACATTTGTGCTGTTTAGACCTCTTATAAATCTTGAGGTCTACACCAGAGGTGAGCTTCCTGCCTGACACTTGGTGGAAGTTTGGATCCATGCACACCAGGCCTAAATAACACTGCTTCTACGGGCACAAAAACCCCAAAAATACGAAACTCCTGTAGAAGCAGTGTTTTTTAGGCCTGGTGTGCATGGATCCAAACTTCCACCAAGTGTCAAGGAGTAAGCTCACCTCTGATGAAGAGCTCAAGATTAGGGATGGGCTTGATGTTCGACTCGAACATTGGCCTTTCGTGTGTTCACCGAACACACGAACGGTAAGAGCTGTTCACCCGCCACACCCCACAATGCACTGCGCTCTCACAGGTTCTATACATTTTACAGATGTGCAACTTTGCAGGTAGTTTAAGGGGACCCTCCAGGCATCATATTTAAAGGAATTTTTTTATTACTTTAACTAGTAGCCGACCGCAGATAGCCGAATGACGGCTGCACTGCGGCCGGCCAGTTCTGGGTGGACGCCATATAA